CAGCTGTGTAACAGGCCCGTAAATGCATTGTGTCAGATGTGGCTGTAGTCATCAGCAGCCAGTAGGGGGGTGTCGTGCAGAAAGAGCAAGGCATGCCAGTCTGCAGGCCCCCTGTGGAGATGTGAAGGAGCTGTGAAGAGCGAGGGAATACTCTGAGCCATGAATAAAGAGGGGATACCCACTGTCTGTGTTGTGAGTGTGCATGACTCCCTCTGAGGGAACTACACACTTTGGCACGGTGTCTGGAAATGTGTGTGTGTGCAGAATACGCTCTGTAATTCAGTCAAAAAGACGAAAATAACTTACAAACGACATAAATACACATGAAGACGAGGCCTTTTCGGTCTCTCTGCAGGTGTTTCTGTTTTTGACTCATTACTGCGTGTTTGTGTATAAGATGGTTGAAGATTTATTCACGCTCGACGGCCCTGCCTCTGTCTCCTCAGGTGACCGCGGTGTGTCAGGAGTACGAGAAGAAGATCAAAGGTCTGATGCCGGCGGAGCTCAGACAGGAACTGGAGGACACCATCGCCTCTCTGAAAGCTCAGGTGAGAGCTGACTCTTTGTCACGTACAGATCAGATACAGACAGGACCCTCGCTCTTCACAGCTCCTGACATGTTCAATCTTCAATTCAAGTTGTCGGCGAGCTCTTGGGTTAACCTGCACATTTCTCTGTTGTGCCTTTTCCTTCTTTATTTCTGCAGAATCTTTACACAATTAAGTACAAAGAAACCATCATTAAAGAAAGTATTAGCACCAGTTAGGGCCTGTTTCCACTGACAGCATTTTCTTGATAGGTAGCACAGGTTCTTTCCGTTGTTTGTTCAGTGTTTTTATCGTCTTTCCTGCAGTTTTTTTTTACCAGTCCTCGCCCAAGATGACCAATCAAAACCAAGAATATCCAATATTAGAATACCAGCTTTTGTTATCCACGTGCATGAGATAAAACTACATGTTTTATTCCATGCATACAGACTTTTTTTCTAAATTTAAGCGTTCCAGGTCTAGAAATACAGCTCATGCAGGAAAAAGTTCTTTTAAATGTTTTAACAATTTTTTTTCAAAAGTTTCCATGAAGCAAACTTAAAGGTGGGGTAGTCAGGATCTGAGGTAGTGCCAGCTTTTGGGGAGAAATCTTGAATGTAAACTCGACCCCTCCCAAACAGTTTTCCCCTCAGCTCCTCCTCTCCCCTCCCTCTCTGCTCCATCAAGCCCCGCCCACAAACAGACGCTCCTGCTCGCTCGTATCGTTCCAATTAAATTCAGATATAATGGAGATAAATACTTAAGATCATTACAAATGGGGCCCATAATAATAACAAAATGATGCTTCTTTAACGGATTCTTGCCTACCCCATCTTTAATGGACAAAACACACTACCTGCAGTATGAATAAACTTTATGAGTTTACTCGACTTTAGCCGTTAGCCAATCAAAACCCTCAGACACAAAACCCTGATGAATATGCAAGTAAGAGCCGTTTGTTTGAGAAGCTTTAGAGCTCCTCTAATGTGATAATCACAGACATGCTCCTACAATCCTCATTACAAACCTCCAATGGAGCCTCGTCATTGTTCCAATGAGTCCACCCTCTTATCGACCCCGTCACTGTCTCTGACATCACACTGTGAAGGTTAGATCGGAGTTTTTCTGATGGCTCGTCTCGAACCGCTGCCGTCTTCGCTCAGACCACAGCTTACTGATTGGAAATGTTTACACGATGTAATTCCTGACCAGAGTGGCCTCCCCTCTCATCGAGGATGTTGTGAGTTTTTCTGCACGTTGAAGTAAATTATTGTAAGAAAATAAATGCAGTCGGGGAGTTTCTGAGCGTCTGGAGGCGTCTGACCACATCTTGTTGTTTTTTCTTCTTCTTCTTCTTCATCGTCTTCACCACCGCTTGGTGCCAAATGAAATGCTAGAACTTTCCTGAGGTCTCCCCCACAGAAAGGAATGTAGCGTCGGCTCCAGTACGGTAGTCCCAGAACAATAGAGACCTGATTATTCTGCCAGGCTCTCCGTGCCGCGCGTAAATGTAGAAGCGGTTTATTTTCTCTTTCGCCAAAGACACTTCATAAATAAACTCACACTTTGTAGCCAAACAAAAGAACGGCGCTGCCTCGGCTCGCAGCATCCTAACCTCAACTAACCTGGCTCATAATCTCTCCTCTGCCCCCCCTTTGCGCCTTAACCCCTCTGCCCTAATCTCCTGACCCCCAACCCCTGCTGTCCTGACCCCTGGACTCAACAACCAGGCCTTTCTTTCTCTTAACCGACCCCCTCCACCCAAAAGCACAATCCCTGGTTTCTCCGCTGCTCTTTCCTGGTCGCACAGCTAATCGAGGTGAGCACATTAGAAAGATCTGGAAGTGTAAATGTTCTCCGTCTGTGTGTGTTTTGCAGGTTAACTTCCTGCAGAAAAGAGCCTCTCTGCTCCAGGAAGAGCTGGATGCCTGTCGCAGCAGGAGGTTAGCATGATTGTTTAGATTGGGTGGAATCGTTTGTGCATATGTTCCTGTACATAGTTCATGTGAAAGTTTGGATCTGAACATCTCAAACTCCTTTATTAGTGGCACAGGTAGATCAGGTACTTCGACTGTGACAGCTTCCTGTCCTGGGGGGCTTTGATTCCCCTCCTTTCCCCCCCTCGTCCATCACACTGTACCAGACATTTACGTCTTTATGAAAAGCTTCCAGAGATGGCGGCGATGAGAGGGCTCGTCAAACGGCGCCGCGGCTCACATCACGACAAACATCTCTCAGGACTGTCAGTCACACACATCAGAGTAAAATAATCCTTTAATTCACTGTACTCTGCTTCACAACTTCAAGTGACAGAGACGTCGAATGACTTCAATCAGGGAGGGTTGAGTTAGATGTCTTTCCATCACAGCGTTTCCCGGTTTTCATCTCTTTTTTTTTTTTTCATCCTGAATGTTTAACATCAAAATTAAAACTGAAACTTACATGTTTTTTTGTTGTAGATTTAACTGCAGATTAATTATTGACCCAAATAAGTGGACTTTAAAAGAGTTAATCTCAAGCTCTGGGAGATCTTTGTCACTTTTTCACGTTTGTTTGATCATTTATTGATGAAAAGACTTTAAAAGAAAGGAGACACTGGGAGGATCGTGCAGCTTTTGCACCTGCGAGACACAGTGTTATCCACAGAGCATGCACTGTTTTATGCACATTGAATTTTTTGTAGCCAGGAAAGCCTGAATAAGATTAAAAATCTCTTTCACAAACATGTCCTGGCTAAGATTAGTGATGAGTTACAAACACAGGTCAACGTTTCCTGGATCAAATAACAGAAAATCATCAATCAAAGCGTCAATCAGAACTCCTTTCCACGGGACAGAAAGCAAGAACGAGCCTTGTGACTGGATCACAGAGCGAAGACTGTAGCTTCCAGCATTAAAGTCCCACTCTGACTTTTTTTCTTTTTTTTTTACTACTTAAAAGTGTTCTCAGTGGTCTTTAACCTGTGATAATGAAGTTTTTAGCCAAAATCACGTCACCTGCGTCGTTTTCAAAGGCTTTTCTTCTGCAGAGCTCCAGTAGCTCATATCACCTCTGAGTCGGAAGTGAAAATAGCGCCACTCTGCACACTCCTCTTCACGCTAGCTTGCAGCCTAACATTTCCAATGTATTTAGCTCTCATACACAAATGTCTTTAGGGACATGATGAAAGTTAATATCATAATTACCTTTCTTACAAGCATTTCAATCCGCTAATGCACACGCTTGTTCCACGATCGTCCTCACTACGTAGGAAATCTCACTGTATGTGAACCTGCTGTTTGGGTCTGCCAGAGATTCACAGCGACTTGAATGCAGAAAACATTTAGTTTTCTCATGATATATCCTGTAGCATCTGAAAAATGCCATATGAACTTGTAGACAACAAGAAAAGCATGATTTTCATCGGAGTGGGTCTTTAAATGATCTTTATTAAAAAGAAGGTCTGATTCACAAACATCCGCTGTTAAAGTGAAGCTTTTATCTGCTGAAAGTCTGCGCCACATTAATGCTCAAACTATTCTGTGATATTAACGATTCCACCTCTAAAAATTAACACATCAGTCATTCACTCTGTTATCATCACTTATTCATCATTTAGACAGAACAGAACAGCTCTGCACAGTAAAGGTTGGTGATGCCGACAGCTCACCTCCACAGTCTCGTGCAAAACAAGAGCAAACTGCACAAAACTGCAAACTCTTAATGTAACTTTGCACTTTAATATCGTTAGCAAAACTTGCGTCAGTGAATGAATCCTCAGGTCGAGCGGGAATAACCAAACTCTGTCTTTGCAGGTAGTCGAAGCAGAACCACGACCCGACCCTGTACCTGAACATGAAGGACCGAACATCCAATCAGATGTGAGCATAACTAACTGTTACAAGTCTTTACACTCCTGCCACGCCGCCGGACGAGTCATCTTGTTGTCATGGTTTTATCAACATATGAAATATTTATTTCCCACGTTTACATTTTTATTTTTGTGTTTCATTAACATGTCTGTGTTCCTGATGCTTTACAGACTTTTGATGTCAAACTGTCATTTCCATTATTTAATAAAACACTCTGCTTCATTTTTCAGTCGTCATGTTTATTTTTTCTCTTCCTCGTCATGTTTTCATTCTCAAATATCTTTATATAATTAATCCCCCCCTCCATTAGGAAAATTCACGCTGTTGCCTTTGTTTTTGTTTGACCGCAACATGCGTGTTAACCAAGATTAGCTCTGTAACTCTACGCTCAAGTCAGAGACCTTGAATTCCCAGCAGCTCCATCACTATTTAGCATCCAGCGCCGATTTGAACTGTAAAGAGCAGTTGGGGGGTTTGTGGTCGGTTCAGATAAAGAGCGCTGCGAGCCCAATGTTTGAACCTCGGGCCAAACGCTACAGAGTTTCCGCCTCGGCCACCGCTTTGTGTTTTACCATCGGCTCCGCTCAAACCCAAAGTGAAACACTCAGACCCACGAGTCCGGCGTGTCTCCATCGACGTCTCCAGAGTGCGGCGGGTTTATGGTGATAATAACATTTGGTGGAGCGAGGATGGGCTTTGTAATGAGCCCCCATCCTCTGGTATTTTGTGTTTCGGTAGGTGAGGAATGCATGGGCTTGGAAAGTGATCATTTCAAAAGAATCCGTCTGGAAACAGTTTTTTAAGGAGACATTAAATCTTAAAAATCCGATTTGATTTCAAAGAGAGCCCGACTCGTACTTTTACAGACTGGGATTGAAGTCTTTTAACACCCGCAGGTCACGCACTTCCATGTGTTCCCGTTGTCCCTGACCTGTTGTGCCGTCTCCAAACGAAACTCTATACCGCTCTCTGTATTTATTTGATGTGCTGATTCTGCTGCCTGGGCAGAAAGAAAGAGAGAGAGAGAGAGAGAGAGAGAGAGAGAGAGAAAAACACAAAAGAGAGACAAAAACAGAGCGGACAGTTGGAGCGACTTCTGAGAAACAGGAATTTAGTCTTCCAGCATGAGGTCTTTGTAGAGTCTGTTGTTTCTGGAAGGAGTGCACAGAGGATTCATAACTGTTACAACCTACAAGACAGACGTACATGTGGGTGTGAGTTTTACACTTTGGACTCCACCTTAAGGACATTTCAGGACTCTTAGCACCATACGTCAGGGGTGGGCAATCATGTGCCATGGAGGGCAGAGAGACTGCAGGTTTTCTTTCCAACCCAAAACTCCACCAGGTGGTTTCACTGATCAGTCCCTGCTCTCTGCTTGGAGGTAATCAGTGAAATCACCTGGTCCATGGCACATGATTGCCCACCCCTGCCATACCTGAACAAGTCCTCCTCACTCCCATCCTCATCTTTGTAGATACTGCCCTCGACTAGTTCAGCCCCCTCCTGAGTCTCTGTCCTGTCCTGCTCGGGTCTTTGCTGCTGCTCTCCCTGCCTCAGCTCATGAATCAAAGAGGAGGTGTGCTCTTGTCTGTTGCTGGTCTTGTCCTGTTCATGCATTCGTGTTGTTTCTGTATATCGTGGTTTGTTCAGTCGGTCTCGGTCTAAAACCAACCTGGCAGCAGCAGCAGGTGTTAACTCATTCAGTGCCAGTGATGGATATGGAGGATTTTTCTGTTTTTTTGTTTTCCACCAGAGGGCGCTCCTCCCCAACATGCGACGAAGTTTGGGGTTGTTCTGAACGCAGAAAAGCCGACAAATATGTCATAATCAATTAGCCGGGTTGTGGAGTGTTTTTTCTCAGGAGAGTAGGAAAATGCCAAAGTCATTCGCCAAGAGTAAACGGTCTCGGCGCATCAGCTCCAGTGGGTGAGGTGCTTCTGTCTCTGGATCCAATGAAGATCCTGGTTCCGGACCTTCAACATCCTCAGCAAACAATCAAAGAAACAATTTTCTGGCATGTCGTTGTGAGGCCGGTGTCGGTACTGGTGAGCGAGACTGAGCTGGAATTCAGCGACAAGAAGGACGTGGGCAGTCCGTGTGGTTTACGTCGCGGAGTCAGGTTCTCGAGAGCCAATATGACTCCCAGCCATCTTAGTGTAACCTATCACAATCAGATCTCGAGAGGTGAGGAGTGGTGTCCGAGGAGGGAGGACCTTGATGCCACCGGTTAAGTAGTTTGAAGAAGTAACTTCAAAGTCTCTCCTTCATAAAAATGTGTTTTTCCAGATCAGCAAAGATGATATGACCACGCTGCATGGAGCAGGCAATAACTAAACACAGGAGTGGGTTAGAGACTAATTTTTTTTCTGGTGAAAGGAGAGAACCACCTCTTTCTTTTGAGATATCGCACTTAATTCTCGTCAAAGCAAAGGATATTCTGTGGCTCCTGAAAGATACATACATTTCTATTGCGGCCAACGGTGTCACTGGGTGAAAACTGCATAAATGAACCTGGCACTGAATGAGTTAAAAATGTCCACTCCAGCTTCCTGTCCATGGTCTTGTTTCCTTTTGTAGGTCATATAGAGACATCACACCCGCTCATCTGAAGCCTCCTCTCAGGAGCTGTAAACAGACCGAGTCTTCAGAGTTAAAGACTCGAAGTGAAGGTTCCCTCTGTCCTGTTTCAGCAGACCCTTGTTTTCCTCCTCTTCACCTTCTCCAGCTCTAACCCTCTCCTTTAATCTGCGTTATCGCTGACATAGTTTCACTCTAATTGATTGTCTCTCACCAAAATAAACCTCCATAATTGTGCTTGTGTAAATACGAGCCATGAATGTCATTTCCACACAGCCGACACGGCCCCATTAGGGATCAAAGCGGTCGCTTCCTCTCAGTTATCTCCACATCAGACAGCGGACTGCTGTGTGACGGAGGAAAAGGGCAGCCAGGGAGCTCCACTCTTCGTCTCTTACAAACACAGACTTGGACAGGTTTCATCGGATTTGGAGGAGTTTCATGACGAGCAAAGGGAGAAGAGATACGTTCAGTATTTTTTTAGAGCAACAAGACAGGTCCTGCCTCGTTTTTATGGTCATGTAGCCTTTCCCAAACTAAGGACCGGGACCCAAATTAGGTTGCCAACTTGTAGAGAAGACGGAGTTTAACCTGAATTGATTTATTCTCGACAGATAGTCAGTAAAATACCTTCCTATTTCCCTTGATTCTAGGCAGCCTCTAAATTATTTATACACACGACTGTGCAGAACTTAAAAAAGTTAGTGACTTAGTAACAGGTGCAAAGACCTTTTCGCAGACTATCCTAAGACTTGATTTTGTTTTTGTTCTTCATTTAGACTTTGAAAAAACTAAAGCTAACTAAAGCTCAGGTCATTTGTAGGATAATCTCTCACTTGTTTCACTTTATTTTTTGATTAAAGAGAAACAAACATCATCTCTTCTTCCACTTTGTGTATACAGTATGTTGGTTTAGAGATGTCTTGTAACCTCCGAATAACCATTTAAGAAAACTTCCAACTCTTAAGACTGGTTCATTTCACTCCTGCCGCCTTTTTTAAAGATTTAGAGCCTGAATTATTTTGGCAAAAATTCTAGTAAAGCTTCATTCAAAGATATCAGGACAAATTCAGGGCAACATTAGTTCATTCAGGCCACAAAATCAAGCTCTACCTGCCTTGGCTTTTTTTTGCACATACAGAAGGAAGTATGCTCTTCCTGCTTCAATCCCTCTATTTCTGTATATAAAAAGAAACGTTAACTCTACTTCTTGGTTATTTTGGTGCATGTTGGTTTGGGGATGCCTTGCAGCCTCAAATGTCACATCTTCTTCTCTATTACTGCAGCTCACTCTTTCTTTTTCCTCCACTTCACGACATTCCCCTACATTTGAGTGTGCATCTCTTATTCTAGACGTGTTTTCTTCGATATGTCGCATCTGATGTGTGCCATAAATGTACAGTTATTTCCCTTAGAAAGAGAGAACAGATTTTGCACGCAATAAAAAACAAGAATTGTGCACACACCTGATACAGTAACACTGTCTGTGCTGGTTTCCACCTAAAAATCAGCGCTCTCTCTCTCTCTCAGAGACACAAACAGCCTTATGATGGTGAATCAGGGATGTGGAGCAGCTCCTTTTGAAGTCGTGGTACAGATGAACGCTACATCAGTTTTTGTTTTGAAGTGTTTTAATCCCGCAGGATATCAGAGGGGTTATCCGAGGATAAAACCGTGCGACCAGCGGTGATTTCGAATCGCACACATCCTCTCGCCTGGCGGTGGATTTACACGTATGACTTGGTGTGTGTTCCCGTGACGAGCCTGTGGGAGCGACTGTACATCAGTGCGTGATTGACAAAGTCATTGTACGTGCTTGTGTGCGAGTTGTGTGTCACTGGAGCTTTTTATAGCCCCGTATTCTGAGTCAGACCCTAGGAGGCCTGTGTTTGGCTGCTGTACGCCGCTCGCATAAATAAACCTGTTTATCGCCGACACTTCTCACACGCTCACGCTGATGTCTTCCATCGGGTGTCTGCTTTTGTCTCTCTTCCTGGCTTGTATCATTCTCCTCTTTGTTGATTCGGTATTTATGGCAGTGTTTTTTTTCTCTCTCTCTTTCCCCCCCTCACCCTGTCACTCAAACGCAGCAGAAGCTCTGAAAAAAGGATCTGCAGCTGTGTGATTCGAGAACAAGTGGGTTAGAAGCTGTAGAGCCTCAGTGAAGGAGGCTCAGCAGGTTGTGTGAGTGTGCGTGTGTGTGTGTGTGAGATTGTGGCGTGAATTCACAGTCTGGGCTGATGGTGTGGGCTGAGCAGGGGGACAGAAGATGTTGCTCTGAAGACCGTGTGGGAGGTTCGTCTGCATCACTTGCCCTGTGTCTCTGTCTGGGTATCTCTGTCTCGCTCCCTCCCTCCGTCTCTCTGCCTCCTTTTTTCTCATCGTGCACTAATTCCCTCTAGGAAATAAGATTAAGGGGAGTATGACTGGATCCTCTCTGATGCAGTGACCATGCAGGTGTTACATATCCGGTTTCTCCCAAGTGAGTTTTTTGAAAGACGTTTTTTTTTTCTGTCTCAAAAATTGAACCATTTTGCAGATTTTCTCAGAGAGGAGACGCATGTTGAGGTTGATTTTGCAACTATTTGGGCATCTCAATGCAAAAATACAGCGTTTATTATTCTTCTTTAAAGACAAACACTGAAATATCTCAGCTCGGTTAACTTTGAGTCCTGAAAAATGAGGAGCATGCGTGTTAAGAGAAAACTGAGACGTCTTAACAAGGACCCGACCGATTTATCGGCGAGCTGATTAAATCGGCTAATTTTAGCCTGTTTGAGACCAATAGGTAATCGGCCAAAACTCACTGATTTTCGATGATATTTTCAGAAATGAAACGCAGAGATTAAGATTCGGTTTCACTTCGAAAATGTTCCGCCATTTGAAACTTATCCTGTAGATGGCGCAGCGACCTCATGACGATCTTCATCCACTAACTACCTCACAGCACAGCAGAGTGACGGTTCTGAAGCAGGCAGCTCAGGGACGCACGGAGGAGAGTGGTCCTCCTTCACCATGTTCCCTGCTGTGCTGGTCTCGGTCATGCCGAGTTAATGGTGAAGAACCATGTAAGTTAGAGTTAGCCACCTGCTGTTAGCCTTGCTACACTGTTAGCCGTGCCAGTAACGAAAGAATAAACAACAGTACACATTACGTGATCGAGCTACTTCTCTTACAATGAGTGACTTGAGATAAGACGCCCAGGCACCGATCAGCGGTGGGGGTTGAAAACGCTCTTCTGGTCCGAGTTTGATTAGTCGGTCTTCCTGTCGGCGTGAAGAGCAGTAGCCTACAGTATGTAGATATCTACAGTGTATATATATATAAATATATATATATATATACTGTATATATATATATATACTGTATATATGTGTGTATATATATATATATATTTTATAACTTCATAAAAAAAAATTTAAAATAGTAATTGAATTCCCCCCCCCCCCCCCCAATAATCGGTTTCGTCATCGGCCCCAAAAATCCGTATCGGTCGGGCCCTTGTCTCAACGCGACCCATAAACTGAGGCTATTCCTCACACAGATCTGCTCCGTCTACCGTCCAATCCTCCAAATAAAAAACACGAAAAAAGAGAGAAAGCTGAAAAGTTGGACACAGATCTCTCACATGTGGTCTTTACTTTTGAGCTGCTACAACAAAAGCACAGATGTGTTGTTTTTACTACTTCTTACAGCAGTGGAAGCAGGAAGACACTGGGGGAGCTTAACTACAGTGTACTGGAAGGGACAAAATAGCATAAATTGAAAAGATTCTTCAATTTCTCGACTCTGCTGCAATTCGATCGGCACGTCCTAATTTTCTAAATTACACATTTTAACTTTATAGATGTGTTAATTAAAATTACACCCTCAGAGGCCTCATCTGCATGAAAACCCCTGCAGCTGTGGTGAATAAATTTTCTCTGTTTGATGCAAAAACTTTAAAGTTATGCAAGATTTAGTTGAAGAAAGAGTCCGAAAAACTGATTTGTCAAAGTGCTCGATGATTCCTCTCCAAGTTTTTCAACTTTCCTGGAATTTTCTGCCCGTCCTTGTGCAAAACATGCGTTTAAGTTTATTCGTTTGAATTTATAAATTCAGTGTTTATATCCGGCGTATCTGTTGGCATGGCGCTCGCTCGGCTGATGTGTCACACACCCCTCTAATGGAGGCACAGGAAGCGAGAGGAGAGATAAAAATCTGGCATCTGTTGAATGGACGAGCGAGTTAATCACCTTACCAGTGTGGGATCCCCGCGCTCCCGAGTCAGCAGAGAGGAAGATGGGGTTAAAGTGATGGATTAAGGATGAGTGAGGGAGCCCAGGGTTCAGGTTAAGATTGATCCGGAGACGGATCTCTGTCCTGTCAGGCATGGCGGAGCGGTGGCGTCCGGCCTGTGAAGTGTCTGCATGGTGCTTCAGCGGGAGCAGCAGAGGAAATGAAAGTCATTACTGTCGGCGTGGAGTGAGCTTCATGGCCCAAACGGGATTAGACAGTGCATCCGACATTGTTTCTATACATTGGTAGACTTAAAAGTCAAGCGCAAAATGGGATTAAAACGAGGGAAAAAACCAATAAATAACCTTCAACAGCCCCTTCCTTTCTTTTTATTTCCTCTCTGCTTCCAATCCCCGACCTGTTTCATGTCTCACTCCTACCTCACCTGTCTCGCTCTCTCTGCAGCGCATCTCTCTTTTACTCCCCCCATCATCAAAATGCACAGGTAGGCGCTGACTCCCACTCCCACTTTACATTCTCTGTTTCCTTCTGGGGCCAATTGGCGCTTTAAATCCAACTTCATTCCCCTCAAAGTGAACCCTTTAAAAAACAAACCCTCCCACCACTCGCCCCTCTCTCTCTCTCTCTCTCCCTCCTTCCTCTTCCTGCTTCAAAACAGCCCCCATAACAAACCGGCGAATTGTTGCCCTTCCTTAACTTTTAAGGGTATTATGCACCATGTCCGACTTCAAAGCCTGTCTTAACTCCACACTTTAATTGTATCTTCCTCAGCTCTCTCTCTCTCTCTCTCTGCGTGCCGTTTGATTCTGCTGACAACAGCACTTCTCCATCCTTCTCCTCCCGTCCTCTTACGCTGTGTTTTGACCCTCTCCTCCGCCGCCACCTCCACCTCTGCTGCTCCCCGCTCCCTTCACAGGCATTGTCCCCCCTCTGTTGTCACCTACTTTGAAGAGGTGACTCCATTTCCCCTCTCTGCAGCCGCTTGTTGCCCCGGGTGTGTACACACCAAACAAACTTGAAACAGTAACCCCCTGTCCTACATCGGCTGCTCTCTTTATCAGCTTTCTCTGTGTGTGCGCTGACTTCCTCCTCATGGCCCCGGTTGATAATTGCCATAAGCTCCCCTCTTGGTTTCATTTTCCATTGTCCTCCCCCAAAATTCTTGGCTCTGGCTTGAGATAAAGGGATGAGCACTTCAAAGGGGTCTGCAAAGAGTTTAACCCCGAGCCGAAAGGAACGGCACACAATACTGTAATTGAGAGCAGTTACTGATCACAGGGCTGCGGCACAGAGGACAGCACCGGTAGACACTCGCACAGACACACATTCGGGTGTTTATGATGGCGACTGAGGTGGCCTGCAGAAGTTACGACTGCTGAAGACACCATAAAGCGTGATCGTAAAACATCTCTGGTCTTCTACGATGGTTTATCTTCAATCGAATTCTCAAGATAGAACAGAGAATAAAACAAAAATAGACAAACAGGTTAGCATGAAAACACCCGGACGTTTCATTCGTACAAAGGAGCTTCATCTCCTCTTCTTCTGTGGAGGTTTTGTTGAAAAGTCCAGTTTTAGTTTGATTAACTCGACAAATACAACAATAACAAAAAAATGTTTGACAAGAAACTCAACAGAAAACTTACAAAACACGACAACAAATCACCAAAAACTTATAAAAAACACAAAATGATATTTTCAGATTTGACGTTACGCTTTGTGGGTTTGTTGTTTTGATTTTTTTTAATGTGTTTTAAGATTTATTTTTGATATTTGTTGATTTATATAACTTTAGTGGGTTTTTTTTGTTCGTCTTTGCGACTTTGTGATTTGTTCTTTTTTTATTTTAAGTTTTTTTCTGATTTGTTATTTTATTCATTATTTGTTTTGTAATTTTTTCTTAGTGTTATGTAAGCTATCGTTGTTATATTTACTTTTTTGCACTTCATGGCCACTGTGCCTTTGTCTGTTTTGTGATTTGTTGTTTACATTTTTTTTTGTTTTGTTTGGAGATTTTTTTTCTATTTGTTGATTTTTTTTATTAACCTTTTATGCTGTTTTTGTGTTTTGTTGTTCGTATCTGTGACTTATCAGGTTTTGTGATTTGTTTTGTTTAATGATTTCCATGTTTTGTTAATTTGTTCGTGATTTGTTTTGTTTTATATGTTTCTATGTTTAATTTGTTAATTTATTCATGATTTGTTTTTTTGTAATTTTTTCTTGGTGTTATTTAAGCTATCATTGTGATATGTACTTTTTTGCACTTCAGGGCCACCGTACCTTTGTTTATTTTGTGGTTTGTTGTTGTTTTTTTTTTATTTTTTTGTTGTTGTTGTTGTGTGTTTTGTTGCTCGTTTTTGTGACTTTTCAGGTTTTGAGATTTGTTTGTTTTATGACTTTACCTTTTTTTTCTGGTTTGTTTATATATTCCGGATTTGTTTTGTTTTCTTTGTGTTATGTAAGCTTTCTCTGTGATTTGTAATTTTTTGCACTTCAGGGCCACCGTACTTTTGTTTGTTTTGTGCACACGCCCTAAAAGAAGCAGTAAACGATAAAAAAAAGTAACCATTCATAAAAGTGATTTACGCCCGTCTCTCTTATTGGCCCCTTTGTAGTCAGACTGTCCTCGTAAGAATATCCTCCAAACACAGAGACAGTTACACCTCATAACCCCTCTCCAAAGTCCTCTTTCAAGATCCTTTTTATAGGCCCAGGAGCCAAGGACACCCCTCGTCCCAGGCAGGTCCCGGACCTAGGGGTCAGCTCCTGAAGGGGCAGCGGGGGGGAGATCCGACCCTTAGGGACCTCCCATGTACCAGAGAAGGGGTTGACAAGGCAGGACATGAGGGCCCAACTGGCCCCTGGCACTGGCAGGGGGTCCACACCATCGCCATGGTGATGGTTTCCACCCTGGTGTGTTTACTGTCAGAGGTCAGGCTTAGCCCTCCAAAGTTAACAAAGGCTGACATTGTTGGGGTAGCACTCAGTCAGTATATTAGCCAGATGACCTGGATACCTAAAGACAGAGCTGGACTCTGCTGCTGACGAGCCTCCATGAGAAGAAAAGAAATTGTGGTTTTGCACCTTTTTTTTTTTTTAAATGTTACAGGGGCTGATGGGAAAAGTCCTGACAAGTTTGGGTGAAACGTCTGTCTTGATGCCTTGAAATTTAAAATGATCTTAAAAGTGTCCCTGATGGTGGTTAAAGGAATATTCTGGCGTAAAACTAGTTTAGAGTCAAATACACTGTAACACCGAGTTAGACACCCCTCCTCGAGAGATGAATGTTGCCAACCACTTGTTTCTCTAGTTATTCCAACTTTAGTAACAACGGCAGGATAGCAATACACAGCGGTCCCAGGAGCCACGCGCTCAACCAAAACGCCACTCTATAGCCACAAATAATGCTCAGAACAGCACCTAACTTCATCAACAGGACATACAGGGTCACAGCCATAGTACTGGCTACCAAACAACTTTTTAACTTTGACTAATTTCTTTAGCAAAGAGACTAAACACAACTCACCTACTCTCTTCCAGCAGTCCACCAAAGACTAAGGTGATGTGACGCAGCTCAAGGAAGAACATTTATGATAATTTCTTTATCATTTCCTTGAAGTAATAATCACCATATCAATCATTTAGCACTGCAGACGCTGTAGTTCTTCTGCCTCAGCATCTCGGTCTGATTGTATTTCCATGAAGAAATTATCATAAATGTTCTTCCTTGAGCTGTGTCACCCCACTGCGGTAAAGGACTCGCCAAAAGGTCTCTGTACAAACAAGCGGCTGCTGGAAGAGAGTAGGTGAGTCGTGTTAAGTCTCTTTGCTAAAGAAATCAGGAAAGCGGTTGGCAACATTCATCTCTCGACGGGGTGTCTAACTCAGTGTTATTCTGTGTTTGACCCTAACTTAATTTTACGCCGGAATATCCCTTTAAGTTGTATGACTTTTGCTATTTTAGCTAGCTACTTATCTACCCACTTCTACATGACAGGGACACATCAATCCAGTCTGAGGTTGAAAACAGCTGATCATAGAGTATCTTCTGGACCAGGTTTAGTCCTTCAGATGATGCAGACCCTGAGTTTGGTTGCCTTTGTATCTATTTTTCTAATCATTAATTAATAACTTAATGCTAACTAATTCATGTGTTTATCTGTAACTTTCAGGGTAAATATTAACTTTCATCTTAACCTGCTTTTTATCTTTACCTTATAGATGTTGTTTAAACTTTGGTGAATGAGTCGAACCTTGAATTTTAACTTTAGGCAGCATGTTTTTCCATCATTTATTTATCACTTTTTGCTTACTCACTCATCACGTTAAGCTGTATTTTTCAACCTTGTACCTCTTTAAATGTTATAACTTTATGTATTTAGTGAGAATTTATCTTTTGAGCCTTTTGGAGCTGTCACCAACTTCTTCTGTCAGCATTTTCAACTATTTATCATCTATTTTACCTCTAAATCAACTTTCCCAACTTCTTTTCTTGTCTTTAAACTTGTAAGATCTGAAGTCCAGGTGTTGTAACTCAATAGGCGGATTAAAAGATGTGATTTCTCATTTCTTCAAAAAGAGTCGAGCTGCAGCACAAACTCCCCTCGTGTTTCTTCTTCTTCTCTCCGGGGTACGGCCACCAAACTGCTTGGCAATCACTGCCGTTCGTCTTTCGCCGGTACAGTGAGTTTGATGTCGACATATTGGTGGTGTTTTTGTGCAGGATGTGAGCCCGTTAAAGTAGCCTTTGAATGATGACTAATCCCTTAGTCATCACAGCCTCTTCAAGAGCAATTTCCTCTTTTATTAACCCTGATAGAAATCGAGGTATCAAGGGAGAAAGTTTCACAGCACCTTTAGCAAACAGGCTGATCAAAGTGTTTGCCGTCTTTGTACTGTACTTCTTGAATCTCTGTCCACCGAGACAACAAGGACACACAGACACCTACTGTCTACCTTTCAGGAATATAGCCTATCATCTTGTACAGAGGGTCTCCTGTGGGGCTCATTTGAACGCTTTAAAGACCCATCCAAAACACTCTGTGCTCTGTTCTATAAACACTGTTAGCAGCTCTGCCTGTAGCTGCTCCAGTTAAGAAAAGTATCCGTACCAGGGTGTTTGAATTTTGATCTTTTCGTGGCCTTTTATGCAAAAAGGGCTGCAGAGAGGAGAAAGGGGTCCATGTATTATCCGTCCACTTTGTTTATTTGTTTTTCTGTACAACCAAAATATAAATAAATAGTGTTTGTTTTCGTATTTTCAGCTCAAAACAGAATTTATAACAGAGAAGGAAACGAAAACGAAATAATAAATCTTATTTACAATTGTAGATTTTGAGTAAGCCTGTTTTGACCATACGTGCGCGGAGGCAACATTGGCCTTCCTACGATCCTCAGCGACAGTTACCATGGCGAAGGATGCGACAGAGCAGTTCGAACGCCAAAATCTTACGTTGCAAAGGTCCTTACACACCGGAAATTATGCAAATATACAACACAAAATTACGAAATATTTGGAGGCGAACTTTGATGCGCCTGACTAAACACGTCAAGCACGATGCCATTTTGGCAACTTTCCGGGGGGAAAAAAGACGCGTCCCGGGTGAAAGTGAGAAGACTGACACTACAGTCATATCTCCCTCCTGGCAGCTTTGAATAATACGTAGGACGTGTCCATCTCCATGACAGCAGGTTAGCCTTGAGGCAAATTTTTTTTCTTTGTAGGTTGGTAGGGGAAGGTCCCGCCCTCCTTTGCCTCTGATTGGTTATTCCTTATGGCTGTGTGAAACATCATCGTCTGTCAGGTTAGCGCTAGGGTTAGGAGATTCAGAAGTGCGATAATGTTCTGTTCGATGTACAGAGCTGACAGCCCATGTTTGGCTCTAGCGTGTGATGATATTTCCAGCTTTTCTAGCCAATCAGAGGTGAAGGAGGTAGGACTTTTTGGTCCACGTTGTTGGCTGCTTTGTTGCGCAATTTGTTGCAAACAGTAGAAAGGCACCATGGGAAATGGGGACATCAATAATCTGAAAACGAAAAGTAGATTTATTATTTTGTTTGCGTTTCCATCTCTATTATAAAATTCTGTTTTGAACTGAAAATACGAAAACAAACACTAATTTTTTTATTTTTTTGGTTATGTAGAAAAACAAATAAACAAAATATTGACTCGTTTTTTCGTTTACTAGATTGAATGAAATTATTGAATGGACCAGAAAGCCTCACACATGATAAGATCATGTTTTAATCCTGGTGTGTTTTGCATGTTCCATGTGCCCTGGCTGCCACTGGTAGGAGCTGTGGAGTGATAACAGCTCTGTGATATGAGGTCCTGTTGCAACACTGTGATTTAAAAACGCCTGTTTTGCAGAATAATGTTGGAGTTATGTCCTTTTGTTTTCGCTTCATGCAGAAGGAAAACACCTCCCCTTTGCAAATAGTTCCTCAAAAGGATTAAAAATCAGTTTTTTTTCTCTCTCTCTTCCATTCCAAACCCTTTGTGGTTTTGTAAAGTGGCCAAAAAATTCATGTGAGGATACGAGAGTGCTATTTCACACACGCCGGTGCATGCTTTGTGCATCCCTGGGACTCCAGTGGATTAATCTGGAAAAACTATGCGGGTCTTGAAAAGAAAGAAAAAAAGGATCTCTGCGTCTTTAAAGTTTATGTAGCAACAGAGGGATTGTAGCGATAATGCTATTGGGGCGGCAGATCAGTTACTTCTGACGCTCCAAAGCCTCGGGGAGTTGGCTCAAGATTTCTTGTCTTTGATAAGGTCCTCACTGTTGTAGCTGCAACTTCGTGATGTGGGAAAAGATCGGCGAAACGCTGCGAAAAAAAACGCTTTTTGCGAAATAAACCCACCCACCCTTGTGAAATGTTAAATTAAGAGTGACTGCACCGTTCCGGGGCTGCTCCGACGTGTGTTTTGTTTTTATTCGGCGGGTTTACCCTCAATTGTTTTTTATGCAGCTGTCGGGACCCGGCAGTCGGTTTCTTACTTTGAAGTGCGCTGCTCCAGCCTGTCGGCTCAGTTGGTGTTGGAGTCGCCTGCAGGAGAGACCTACCGTGCGGCATGGCAGCCTAAAAGCAAAGGGAGGAGGAGAAAAAAGGAGGAGGAGGGAGAGAAAAGCGGTATTTTTTTCTCCTTCTCGAGTGCATTTTTCGACTTAAAGCCGAGCGGACTGTATGTGGACGCGTCTCGGAGACGAGCACTGTGGATTATTACGCGTTTTTATGTGGATAAAAAAGCAACAAGAGGAGTTTAATTTGTGTGGAGAACTCGTGGATCGATGGTAAGTTACAAGAGAGTGTTGCCTCCTCAAACTGGCCCCCCATCGGAGTTCCCTTTGATGTGCTGTTGACTCGCCTTTGAAGTCATGTTCAGGAGCCGAAAAAAAAACCGCTTCGTGTCGTTTCTTCGCGTTTTTCTTGATATTTTTTTGATTTCATATTCAAAGTCGAAGTAGAAAATAGTAAGAAGTACTTGTTTCTTTGAGTGATCTGAGAGTTTAGGTGTAGTACTAAGAAAAAGGGCAGTTTTCTCCACTCAGGCGCAATGTTGAGTAACTTTTAAGGAGTCCTGACTGAGTGACAGCGATAACCTCGACGTTTTTACTCTATAATTCAGAGTTTAAACCGAAACATTTGTGTGATTTGAGCAGTTTTTATCCATCTCTGAGAAGTTACGCAGCGTAAAACAGCGAGTCTGTGATAGTGATAATCTGTATTTTGATGTCAGTGTCTGCGCTAATAGGAGAGATATCTGGAGTAGTGCAGCAGCAGAAGCAGCAGTCAGTGAACTCCATTAACTATTTTGGTCACGTTTTCGATCTCCTTGAGTTTGTCCCACATATGTGTCGTACAGGTCCTCGCGGGGAGGCTCAATTTGACGTGATTTAGCCGCTTGGGATGAGATGCAGCGACGTAAAGAGTGACTGCCCAGAATATGAGAAAGTGTCAGGGATGGATTGGGAGAGGTGGGGGGGACATGTGCTCGTATTCTGCAGCAAGGCAGTCAGGATACAACCCTGACATCAGGCGTGATGGATCCGGAAACGTTCATAGAGCCGTGTCCGTGCGTAATGCTGTGGTATTTCGCAGGATTAATGACTTATTAATGATGATCGGCTGACAGGCCTGCTTGATTTACGCGTGAGCAGCACTTCTCCTGAGGTAGATTCAGTCCACGCATTGCTGTGATAGTTTTAAACGCGTAAAAATCATCGATAGGTTCTCGTAAATGTGCGTCCTCGCCAATAGCGCCACTGCAGATATCACATTCCAGGTTAAGATGTGAGAATTTAAATGAAATGCTGTTTATGTAATGCTGCTGCAGCGGTTTCTCAGATATTTTTTTCTTCTCTCTCTCTCTGTGAACTAGCCCCGTCTCTTTCTGTAAAAGTCAGAGAGGGTCTGAAAGGACTCTTACTGCGTCTCTCCCCCTTTGAAGTTGGGGCGGATCTGGTTTTGATTAGATCAATACTTTGTGTTTCAGAGAGAAGACGGGCAGCCAGAGAGAAGCTCCCCCGCTGACATAAGAGAGTGAGGAGATTACAGTGGAAGCTCAGAGGAGGCGAACAACACACAGGATCTCTCTCCTGCTGCCTTCAGAGCCATGAGCCGGGCGCTCATGGACCATATCGCCAGTAGTTTCAGAGAAGATGCTCCTCGACCCCCGGTGCCGGGGGAGGAGGGCGAGGCGCCCTGCTACCCCGGCAAACTCGTAATGATGAAAGCCCTCGAACCCCCTAAATCGGTTCTGCTCGGCTCTCCGGGCTCCTCGGCGAGGAGGAACGACGATGGTCTTGGGGAGCCAGAGGGGAGTGCTTCCCCGGATTCACCACTGTCCCGGTGGACAAAGTCTTTGCACTCTCTCCTCGGGGACCAGGACGGTGCTCTACTTTTTAGGACATTCCTGGAGCGAGAGAAATGTGTCGATACTTTAGACTTCTGGTTCGCCTGCAATGGCTTTAGACAAATGGACCTCAAGGATACCAAAACGCAGAGAGTCGCCAAAGCAATTTACAAACGCTACATCGAAAACAACAGCATTGTCGCCCAGCAGCTCAAACCCGCAACTAAAACCTTCATTCGGGATAATATCAAGAAGCAGCACATAGACTCTGCCATGTTTGACCAGGCGCAGACCGAGATCCAAACGGACATGGAGGAGAACGCGTACCAGATGTTCCTGACCTCTGACATTTACCTCGAGTACGTGAGGACTGGGGGAGAAAACCCCAATCACGTTAACTCGAACGGACTGGGCGACCTGAAAGTTGTGTGTGGATACCTGCCCACGCTCAACGAAGAGGAGGAGTGGAGTTGTGATTTCAAAGCCAAAGCGCTGGTTGGACTGTCAGTGAAGGCGCAGAGGGCCACCTTGTCCGTGAGGGAGGTGGAGGTGATGGAGGACGGATACAGGTATGATTGCAACACCTTTTAAAACTGTATTCAGCTTCAGAACCCCAAATCTCTGCTACACATGGGTTATTTACATCATTTAGGACAGCTGGAGGCGTTTTTCTCCAACACTTTCTTCAAAACCTCTACATCACTTCAGGGTTTCTTTAAATTTTGCAGAAAACTCTCGCTGTCTGTCTTGCACTCCCTTCTCTCACCGTCTCCAGCAGCAGCAGCAGCAGCAGCAGCAGCCCTCTGCTGGCGCTCGCCTGGATTTCCGGGGCTTTGAAATAGTTCAGCAGAATGAGGGATCGTCTTCCACGGGAAAAGTTCACAGAGCACGACAGGCTCTGGCCCCAGCCGGCAAATAATAGATGATGACATTGCTATGCTATGCCTCCTCCTGTACCACACTGTCCTTTTAGCCCGTGGCTGCAGGGATATAAATCTATACCAGAAGGCACTTAGAGACCAGTTTCCTGTCGTTTTATTGCACATGATTGCCTTTAAATCTCCGCCTGAACATTTTAAAGTAGTTACATCAAAGTTTTTATTGATAGGACAGCATGGACTGCTTTTATTGAGGCAGATTTCAAACACAGAGATCACCTGATGCTGCAGATGAAGGTTTTAGTGATAATCGTGGATGTGTGGCGTGTTGCTGGAGGTCAGATAGGTCAGGACTTTTCTCTAGTTTGATGCCTGATTCCCGTCTCCCCCCTCCGATTGTCACTCTACAGATTCAAAACATGTGGAACCTATTTCTCCCCTTTCCGCTTCCCTCTCCTTACCTCCTCTTGTCTGCTTTACTTTCTTTCAAAAAGCTGCTACAGTACAGAATCAACACCTCCCCTCCTCCTCCTCAGCCCCTCTCACTTTCTTCTTCCCTCTTTTCTTGTTTGCGTCAATTCTCCTCTGATTCCCTCCTTTGCTGCCTTCTCCACTTTTATCTTTTTTTCCTTTTGAAATCTCAGGGATGGGGACTAGGAGGCATGCTTTTGGAGAGAAAGTGAGGGGAAAGAGAGCGGAAAGGAAGGACAGAGAAGAGGAGAAGGAGGAGGAGGAGGAGGGTGCACCAAATGAAAGAAAGGGAGGGAGGAGAAAAGGATAAATAAAGGGGGTTAGAGAGAGAGGCAGGGAGGGAAGAATGCAAGGCCAGCTGTGTTAAATACCTGACTCTTTGCAAGCCTCTCTGAAGGTCAGACCGGAGCTGGGAGGGGGCTGCAGCTTTAGTCCTGCTGGGTCTCTCCCTCCTCATGAAGACCCCTACTTTTTTTTCCCCCCTTTCTTTCCTCCTCTGACACACTCTCATGCTTCCGCTTTATACTTTTTTTTTTCCTCCTTAGGTCACTCCCCCCTTTTCTCCTCCTTCTGTACCATGGCAAGAATGCATGCACAGCAGGAGATGAATGCAGAGGAAAGAGTGAGAGAGGTGGAAAGAGAGGAGTTGTGGGCTTACAGGGTGAAAACTCAAGCTTTCCCAGCGCAAATGAACGTGCACTTAAAGGCTTGAGTTTGCAGAAGCTCAACGTTAGCTTCTCACAGCTGATCTTTTAAAAGTTGTTTCCACCCAAACTTTCTCCTCTTTCCCCTGAGGTTTTAACGACACCATCATCCCCACACACCCACCTGATTTCTCTCAAAGTGGAAATTAAACGTCACCCACCTGTTTGCACTTTTTCCCACAGTGTTGCGCCGAAGAATCAAACTGATTTCTGCTGTTGTAACTTCTGCAGGTCGTACAGGAGAGGAGAGTCCCCGAACCCCTGCCATGCCGGCTCCTTCGCCCCCGTCAGCAGCACCAACGACAGCGAGGTGTCCAGTGACGCTCTGACGGATGATGCCATGTCCTTGACTGATAGCAGCATGTAAGTAAACGTTAAAAAACACATGAAGTAAACTTTCTGTTTCCTGGTCCAGTGGAGGCTTCTTGTCGTGGAAGTAGAAGTGAAATTTAAGGTCACGTCTGAATACTTAGAATCTACGCTGTCGAGATAGCATCAAATGAAGCTTTGACGGCCTTTTTTTGCGGCGCTGCTTGACTAATGTGGCATTTACGGCGGCTTAGCACATGCACATCCACAAACTTCAAACAGAAGAGACAAAGAGAAGAAAGGGTCAGGGAAATTAGGCATCAGTTCATGGTTTTCAGGGGGAAACATGAGGGGATGCAAGTTCTGCAAAAAGTGCACATTAGGGTATAGTTTGATTAGGCGGATTTTGCACACTTGTGTCGAATGCAGTTTGTCCTGTTGTGCATAATGGTGTTAAATGTTCTCAGTTTGGATCTAAAAGGTGAGAAAAGTATCAAACATGAGTCACTGTGTCTTTAAATGTTGATATATTGAACTGTCTAAACAGGGGGGCGTCACATGATGGTGGATGAAGGTGTCCAGACACCTGCCTCACTCTCTTCTTGGCTATAATCACAGATCTACACATGGGTTGACATCCCCTCAGATACCTGATCTTGCAGTTTAAGAAGGATTTGAGGGACCACCTTAAGAGAGGACTTGAGTTTCTTCCCTTCAGTGCAGTAGGAGACAGTGAAAACATTGTGGGTTTGACCGTGTACGTGAGTTTGCTATCTATTCGATTAAGAGAGTCAAAGTGGAAGAAAGTTTCGTAAACTTGACCTTCCTGCTTGATAAATAACTTAATTGATCAGTGGGTTATCTGACGGTCGCGGATGACTAACTAATCAGGAAGCCGGCCCCGTCCGTCTACATGTGGTTTCTTCTTATCTGTGTACGTGCTGAGGGCCTCGTTCCCCCGAAGGATCGCATGAAGTCATTGCTCGGCGCGCAGGTCAGCGGAAACAGAGAAATGTTCTTCTTAGGTGATGTCACCGAAGCCGGGAGGTTCGCCATGACCGAGCTGAAGCTACAAACGCAGAGATACTCATGTGCAGAACATCCAAAGGGCTTGGTTGCACATAAAAATGGCTGCTATAAAGACTTTTTTTTTTACAACAGGGAGTCCTCTGCTCTGGCGTATCTCTGCACAGCTCTGCTTCAAAGAAACCGAGGCCCATATAGTCGTTTTCTGCTGTACTTTGCCCAGTGTAGTGACAAAGCGGCGGCCACGGGGACACAACCCCCACCTCTGCCCGATCCGGCCTTGATCAGAGTATCTGCCTCTCTTTGGGTCAGTTGAAAGGACCCATAAACATTTGAATTTCATTTACAGATCAAGAAAAGAATAGAAAAGAGGGGGGAAAGCAACGGGGGAGGAGGCGGTAGGGTGGGAAAAGAAAAGAGAGTGGTGGAGGGAGGAGGAGTGGGGGGGGATTTTTGCTTATATCTTATTTATGGATTTGCTTGGACGCTGGGGAATGCAGCTGCGCAGACTTCAAACATTACCTTATCTTACAAACCAGCCTTTTGATGTGCGGAGATCAGAGGCTGGCTGCGGCAGCGCTTGCCAAATGAAGATTGGGAGGGGAGTGGAGGGAGTGGGGGGGGGGGGTTGCTTATGCGCATGACTGTGGCATTTCAAAGCAAAAGTGGAAAAGTGCTCCTCAGTTAGGCTAGGTCACCAGGAAACTGCTGCTTAGCATGAGAGAAAAGACGCTGATTTACTCTGTCAAGTGTTTCAGTTTGAAGCTCGTTGTTTGATTCCCTTTTTCCGAGCCAGTCAGCCGCGCGCTCCCGCAGATAGATTTAACCAGGTTAGCTGCACCCTTGGGTCCCGTCCTGCGGTAACTCTGTGTATAAGTAGCTAAGGCTAACGGTGTCCTCAGCTAAGACTGACGCGTCTCCTGGCTGGTGGGGCAGAGTGCAGCAGAGTTTACGTCCATGTAGCCAGCAGGGTTCCCACCAGTCCTGTACTGGAGCCAGAGTGTCATTTCTAGGGCAAAGAAAACCTCCTGCTTAGACCTGGACGTATAAACAAGACTGGAAATCCTGGCGTAGCTTCCCCTCATGTGGATCTTTTTTTTTTTTGTTCTAAAATTAGGTCCAAGAGGAAAAAAAAAACAAGAAAAGGATGGAAGAATTAATAAATTCAGTTTCTTCTGGGTTGAAATGCGTTTGATCTCCCCAGTTGGCTAACAAGCTCCTTCCTGAATGGCTGTTTGGTCTTAAACGATGGATCTGATTGGGTAATTGACCTTTGTGATCTCTCTGTATTCCCCCCCAGAGATGGCATCCCTCCGTACAAACTGGGATCCAAGAAACAGCTCCAGAGAGAGATGCAGCGCAACATGCGGATGAACAGTCAAGTCTCTCTGCCTGCTTTCCCTGTGAGTACACAAAAACACACACAAACACACACACGCGGGTCTTTTTGAACCTGGGTCCCACAGAGTAATTTCCATACCACCCTCTGTTCCGGGTCTCTCTTGGTTCTATGAATAGTCCCGCAAACTGTATTCAACATTTTCAATTCAACAACACCAGCGAAGATCTGAAGAGTAACGTCAAAGATCCAGCCTCCCACTCACGCACATAAACACACATAAGCGCGCACACACACTCAGAACTGCGAGCCCCCTCGCTACCTTTGGTGTCACCTACACCCCCATTAGGGTTCCTTGAAGTCTGCGGGAGATGGGGGGGGTCTCTAAGCTGTTTATCGCCGCGGCGCTCCGAACACACCAGGGTTTTTTTTCTTCCCTACCGATGCTGTAAATATGGAGAATAGGAAGAGATGAGGAAGATTTCGAACGCTTTATCCCGAGGGCTCTGAAATCAGCCCGGGTTCCCGACGAAAACACAACAGACACATTCGCACGCACTCGCGCACACACGCATCGCTTTGATCCGAGGATGAATGGAAGAAATGCACAGGGAAGTGACAACTTCCAACAGAGCTGGCCCCCTTTTTTTTTCACACACACACGCACATATGCACCCCCCTCCTCCCCTAAAAGTGAGGGATCTTGGGAAGAGCTTGAGCGTGTCATGTGAGCTCTGAGTGGGTCAGAGGGGAGTTTGTAGCTTAAGGCTTAAAGAGGCTAACTTTAGGAGCGAGGGTCCAAGCGGAGTCAGAGGGACGCCCTTCGAATAAACTCGACATAACCCCGTTTTTTTTTTTTTTTAAAGAGATCCGCACATTAGCTACCGCCTCTCCGCTCCTCTCCTACTGTCCCTCTTTCGCTTTATTTTCGCTTTTATTCTTGTTTCTGTTTCCCGTCTGATTTTTGGCAATGGCTGCCATTCCCATGGTGCACCAGCCCAAGGCTCCATCAGACGGCGCCTCTTTTTCTCACTCTTTTTCTCCCCTTCATCCTCACTACAAAGGCTTGGGAGACACAAAAAAGAAACAGAAAAATCAAGAAAGCCCCGGTGCAAAAATGCAAATAATTTAAAGTGTGTGTGCGTTTACACACACACACACACACAGTTTCGTACTGTCACTGTACTGTACCTCAAAGGTGCCCAGTGTGAGACAAGGGGGGAATAAATTACCTCAACCTGTCTGATCTCCTGTCCTTTTTTGGCACCTTTATCTCTTTCCACCAATCCTTCTCTCTCTTCATTTGCTTTTTCTCTTCCCTCCTGTGAGCACACATCTCTGCATCTCAACTTCTCCCATATTTTTAATCCCTCATCCTTTCCTCCCCGGAGTTCCCTTCCACCCCCTGTCGATATGTGGCTTTTATTCCAAGATGTAAAGCCACTGCTTCCCATCTATCTATCCCTCCATCCCTCCCTCCTCCATCCCATTCTCCCCCCACTGAGTGTTTGATATTTGACGAGGAAGCCTTTGAAGTGAGCTGACTTTAAAGAGGCCTGCTGCTGATGATGACAGAGGGAACCAGCCGAGGCCTAGCCCAGCGTGACCGTACAGCAGGCCTGCCACCCCTTAAAACAAGCCCGTAGCCCTGAGTGCCTATCAGGGCGCCAGAGATCGGCACGAACGGAGAATGATGCATGCGTGAAGAGGAGTGTGGATGTCTTTGTACAAGTTAGGGAAAGATGATACAGAAGCTAATGCGTCTCCCTCCTTCTCCCAAAAGCGTACTCGCCGTCCTCCCAAGGAGATGGTCCCCATGGAGCCGGCAGAGTTTGCAGCCCAGCTCATCTCCCGCCTGGAGAGCCTGAAGAAAAAGCAGGACACCATCAACTCTCTGGAGGAGAGGCTGCAGCAGATCCAGGAGGTTTGTTTGTGTGAAATTCTCTGTTAACAGAGATTTTTTACTGTCGTTTCTCATTCCTCATGACGATTTCTCTGCTTTGTGCTCAGGAGGAGGAAAGAGAAGATTCTGAGATTATCACAAGTGCTCCCCAGCTCTCTCCACACCCTTTGACCCTCCTTCCTGGCTCCTCTGACGAGGACCCACAAGCTATCCTGGACGAACACCTCTCCCGCGTCCTGAAGACCCCCGGTTGCCAGTCCCCCGCAGTCATCCGACATTCACCTCGCTCTACCTCTCCAGAGCATGCAGCCTTCACACGGGCAGCCTATGGCATCAAAACCCTGGTGAGGACCGGACCCTCAGCTTCCGCTTCGGTCTCAAGTCCCGACCAAGCGGCCATCGCTCTGGCTCTAGGTCCCGGCCGGACCCTCGTGAGCAGGCAGAGCACAAAACACATCCACCACCATTACATCCACCATCACGCCAGCCCCAAGACCAAGGAGCAGATCGAAAGGGAGGCGGCCTTGAGGGTTCACGGCCTGTGCTCCAGCAGCGGCGAGTGCGCGCCCTGCCAGCCTTACCAGCGCAGCCGCAGCCTGGGCAGGGAGATGTGTGGAGCGGTCTCGATAGACAACAACATGGGGTCAGTTTTGAGCACTTCCTGTATCCTGGTCTCTTATTATCCGTTTTTCTTGCATTGAGAATCAAAAGAATAACCTCCTCTTTTTCCTTGCAGGCGCTCCAGCTCTCTGTCCAGGCATGTGTGTCGTGCAGGGGCTGAGGACGGAGCAGCAGAGAAGTGCACCGAAGACTGCGGACCCTTGCAGCTGCCCAGCGACACAACCGACCCCACCCAGAATGTGCTGCAGTGGATCCTGGAAAGCAAACGTCAGGGCAGGCACAAGTCCCACAGGTGAGCATTTCCTGATCCCTTGAATTTCTGCGTTGATTTCCTCTAAAATGTCCTAATTTATGATCCAGCATTGCACAGCGTTAACGCATATCACCCTCCCTCATTTTTCCTCGCAGTAACCAGAGCACCAAGAAAACCTTTGGGGGCTCTTCCACCCAGACGCACACGTGGGGTGGCGGTGGAAGCTGTGGCCACCTACGTAGCCACCAGCCAGCACAGCCTTTCATCCAGGACCCGGCCATGCCTCCCCTGCCCCCTCCCAACACTTTGGCCCAGCTGGAGGAAGCCTGCCGCAGACTGGAGGAGGTCTCCACCAAGACCACCAAGCAAAGGTACTTAGAAACAAGAGGACTGGTTTCAGATTTCGTTCAGAGGTTCGATTTTGGAGATAAATAAGGATGCATTATTAATTATTCTTTCAAATCTCCTCTCAGACATTCAATGTCCAGCGTCCAGCAAGAGAAGAGCCACCTAGTGCCTGTCCAAGGGGAGGGGTCCGTCCCTCTGTCTGCCAGTCCCAGTCCTGCTGGCCTCCCCTCCACCACCGGTCTCCAATCAGAAGAGTACGATGCCTCTAGCGTCCTGCCCTCCCTCTCCTCTCCTCCTCTCTGCTCCTCTTCCTCCTCCTCTCAGCCATAGCCTCCACCTTGCAGTGTACTTCTACCCTTTTAACTCTTCCTGCTTGACACAGACAAGTAGTCGAACCTGCATTTGTTTTTGTTTTTTGTTTTGCACATGTGCAGACACCCACATATCGCTGTAAAGAGAGGGTGACCCCCTTTTTTACAAAGCTTACTTTAAGCTTTGTACGCGGATGCCCGGCTCTGCCTCTGTTTGCATGAATCTTGTGTATTTGTGCCGTGTGTGGGGAGTGTGTAGTCACAGCACCACCTGACTGAGACATCCCTTTCATATATATGTATCATTTTTATTGGCTGTCCTTCAGTGAGCTGGCAGTCGGCTGGGGCAAGCAGAGCTTAGCAAAGAGAGAGCTCCTCTGAAGTGGGCCTACAAAGCCTTGGACATAGCTGAAGGGGAATTGATAATACTGTGCACAAATAACACACAAGTACACACCTACTGATGGCGGCGGGTCACTCGCTCAGCTAGCGGTTTTCTTCTTCGTCTTCTGCAGACGTAGATTTAGCCTCGCCCTTTTCTGATTTCCTCTTGTAATCATTATCTCACATTCAAGAGGGTATCGGCTCCATCTAATGTCTTTTTCTCAACCTTCTTTCAGGATAAAGGAGTGCAAAAAAGGTTCAGGAGTGAGCGGCGGCGGCGAGACGGTGGTGACTTATTTCTTCTGTGGTGAGGAGATCCCTTACCGGAGGACCATGAAGAGCCACAGTCTCACTTTGGGCCACTTCAAGGAGCAGCTCCGCAAGAAGGGCAACTACAGGTGCGCATGACGAGACGAGCGTTAAACTTTTACGAGAGGGAATTCACTGATGTAATGTGAACTTTTGCCACCGGCGCCGCTCTGATATCGTGATTGTGGGGTATAAAACGCTATCAGTTCATCAGCCTTGATCTGAGAGAGCGTTTGAACACAAAACAAAGAGCGACTTGACAGACCCTGTAGCAAACGGTTTAAAGGTGGGGCCTGAAGAAAGGGGAGCTTTGAAGAGCTCTCCCTTTAAGACAGACACAAGTGGAGGGTTTCTGACGACTTAATCTGGAGCATTTTTGGGGTCTCCAGTTAAATGTTCTAGAAAAAAAAAGTGAAAAATATTGAATGTTGGCAATAAAACTGGGAACTGGTTCACCATATTTTCCAATAGTCTAGGGAATCCAGAAAAGGCGCTCCTGAGTGTGAGATTTCAAAAAACTGTTGAGGATTTCATCATCTTTGAGACATAATAACATGAAAAGATTCAGAAAATCTGGAGGAATCCCTGCAGTAAAGGGACAAAACCCAAAACCAATGTGAGATGGCTTTGATTTTTAATGCCCTGCATTCAAAATGGACATGACTCTGTAGTGGAGGTCACCGCATGGGCATGAAATCACTTTGAGAAATCTCTCAGTATTTTTACACGGCACTCAAGAAAACCAAATCATTGCCTTACGCTGATTAAGACAGGAAAACTGAAGTGCATGTAAACACCGATTGGAGTCGGCGAACTCCAATTGAAACACCCAGATAATGTGATTGGAATTCGACTTTCTTTGCCATGTAACCAGCGTAGCTGGAGTGTAATAGGACAATGCATGTGCGTGTGTGCCAAGCCCCCGTAACCCCGGAACAAAAACACCAGAGAAGAGGAGTAGCGTGCATCTCATCTGCAGAAAAAGTAGCGCTTACATCATGTACGACAAAAACAACACTGTACGATGCTCCATCTTCTTGCTCAAAAATGCCCAACAGCAGTTGTAGACACTTCTGACGTCTGAGACGGACCTGCTGTTGTTGTTGGGTCAACTGGAAACAGCTTTCACATCAATACTTCGATTGTCACAGCTGCATGTATGCGTGGACAAGGAGAGAAGTCTGATTTGGCAAAAAAACTGAGTTATGAGCTTAGTCTGATTAAGCTGTGCATGTAAACGCATTGATTGTCTGTCACAGCAGTTATGGTTTTTGGTTTTTGGAGACCGTGGACTCTGGATCCTTCGCTCTAAAGAGGGACCACCCAGCCTTTTATCAGCGCACAGTTCAAAGCTGGCGTTCAGGGAGTCAGAATTGGGAAAACAACGTTGATGCAGAGCAGCATAACGTTTAAGGGAAGACTTTTCATAAAACAGCAAGAGGATTCTAATCTGCATTTTGCTTGCATTACAACAACATGGCTCTGTAGTAGGAGAGTCCGGGTGCTAAACCTGCAAAAGGAGACCCCAGCTGCAGTCCTCAACCAGTTTTGTTAAAGCACAGTGGTAGACGTGCCCCTCTCCCAGCTGGTCTGACTTGTGTTAGGGTTGCACAATCTGTAATCATCACTGTCATCTCCATGTGACCTTTTCAAGAGATTTAGAGCGATCCCAATAGCCGCAATCTAACAGGGCAGGACTAATGGAAACCACAAAGTGAAGTGAGCTGTTGTAAGCTGAGGTTTCACTGTCTAAACCGTATGAATCGCGGTCGCTGTCTTTTGAGGCTTGATGTATTTTCTCCACACTATCGGAGCTCTGTCCACGCCTGTGTGTAGCTCTGTTATCAGTGTTTGTTTCTGTGTGTGTGTGTGTGTGTGGAGGGGGGTTCAATGAAAAGGAAAGGACATGAGCGAGTGAGTGAGCGAGCGAGGGAGGGTGGGTGGTGCGGGGGTTAGTGGAAGAGTTTGAACTGCAGCGATTTGGGTCCCATCTGGTATTGATTTCCATGCTAAGGCACACTTAATACACATGGCTTTGAAGCCCCGGCCCCTTTCATTTCAACCAACAAAGACTCACACAAATGGCCAGCGTGCAAATTCTTCACTGATGCTATCAGGGGCTCTTTTTTCCTGCCCTGGTGTGTGTTTGTGTGTGTGTGTGTACACGACTGAATGTGCACACTGTTTACACATGTTGTAATCATTTTATGGATATTTTTTGAAAGGCAGATTGTTAAATGCCAGACTCTCTTGTTTGCTGTACTTCAGGGCGCTGACTGCGGCCGGCCGCGCTGCTTCAGTTTGTGTTTGCGGAGCGAGATTTTCGACTTTGATTGCTCCTTTCCAGTGGGCATTAAAGGGAGAAAAGATCAAACATTTATTGTTTAGGCTGCTGCGGTCTCCAGGAAAAGCTCGAGTCGAGTATTGTGTTAGTAATTACAGGTATTTGACTCGTATAGAAACGTCTTCCCGTCCAGATGTGCGCGGCGATTCTGTGACAAGCACTTAGCTGAGACCCCCCCCACATCTGTCCGTCTCTCCCCTCTCTGGCTCGCTGTCTCAGTTCCTGTGTCATAGCATCCACAATTTTTTTTTTTTTTTAGGAAAAGAGAGCCGCGCGGCGCTTTAATAGCAGCCAGAGAATGTGTGGAGTTGGGTCATTTCAACATGGCAGCGGTTCAACAAAGAACAGTACTGCCGGGCCCTGCCAGACGATATTGGTGCCAGATGTCAGTGCAAACGCAGAGCGAAGGGGAGAAGGGGGGAAAAACAGATCTAGCCACATAAAACATGTTCCAGTGGAAATTCAGGCTCTCTCTGTCTCTGTCTGTCTCTCTCAGCACAAAAAAAAGATCACGGCGCTTTGAAGACTTGAGTCCTTTTTTTTTTTTTTCTTCTTCTTCCTCCTCTTCAGGATGAGAGAGAAGGATAATACACTTATTAAAATCTTTCATGTCCTCTTATTTATCTTCTTTGTCTTATTTAACTTCCTTTATTTCGTCTTATCGACCTCCCTTTTGCTGATCGGTGCATCCGCAGATCTTTGCCAGAAGTCCGTAGCTCGACTTTTTCTCGCATGTTGGATTTTGTCAGCCTCACATCTCATTAAAAACAAAATGCTCACAAACATACTCGCATTCCAGTCACCCCACACATGGAGCAAACTGAGGCTTTTTTTTCCATTACATAGTTAATGAGTGAAACCCACCCCTGCTGCTTTCTCTTCCTCTCAAAACCAGGATGGGGGGGTTGCATCATTAATGGCCCAGTGAAGTCATGGCTGACGAGAAGCCCCTCCTTACTTTTTCGTCAACACACACACACTCACACACACACACACACACACATGGAAAGTTGTCAGTCTGCTGCCCTTCCTATAGCACCCAGCGAGAGCTCGTGCAAGCAACGGGGGCAAGGAAGTACACGGTGTACCGCGCTCCTCCTCCTCTTCCACTTTGTTCTTTTCTTTGTCCTGTAATAATGAAACATGAGGGGCGAGTGAAAGCCCGCGCGTGTGCATGTGCATCTTCATCTTCTAGCAAGTGCACGAGATGGTGTGTAGGAGTCAGAGTTCGGGTGGGTAGGGGGGCAATGACAGGCAGACTTTCAGGCACCCAAAATTTCAGCCTTTGTCAAAGAAGCCCTTCATTTGCACGCCGCTCTAATTGGCCTGTTAGCCGGGGCGAAACTCACTGCAACTCCGCGGAGGAAAGGGAAAGAGAGAGCGCGAGCCTTTCATTGGAGTCCAAGAGTTAAAAGAGCAGGTTTCAGCCTTGATTCTTGACTCCCTTTGACCCACCTGTATGAAAACTCTGGATCTGTGGGTGTTAACTCTCTCTCTCTTGCTTGTCTTTTCTGTGCAGGTACTACTTCAAGAAGGCCAGCGATGAGTTCGAGTGCGGCGCCGTGTTCGAGGAGGTGTCCGACGACCTCTCTTTGCTGCCCACCTACGAGGGAAAGATCCTGGGCAAGGTGGAGAGGATGGAGTGAGGACCTCTCCGTGACGCGGATCTTCCTACCGCTTCTGTGGATGTAGTCCATCACAGGGCCCCAGAAACGCAACATCTGTGCGTTTTAAGCTAAGACTGCAGGACTGGAGGTGTTAAAGGAATGTGCGCAACATGTGATGAAGACGATGAACTGGGTGAAGGATAACGACGCGTGGAGCCGTTGCTGTTAAAGGACTATCACGAGCAGTCATCTCGTGGTGAAGACAACGAAGGATTGTATGTTGCTGGACTGAAACGTCCCTCTTTCCAGACTCTTGAGACTCTAGGTGAATGACCACTCCTCAAAGAAGCGGGGCGGCGGGTTCAAACAAAAGACTGACAGCCGACTCGCCCCTGCCTGTGCTCGCACCTGCAAGCACATCACTTATATGTATATGCAAGTATACATGTACATTGCATTGTATTGTGATGCTCGTATTGCTGTGTAAAGATTTCTATTGCTATTTATTGGAAATATCATCGCCCCCATCCCCCTTTTTTTTTTCTTCCATGGACAAGCTGCTTGGAGTTGGAGAAACTTCTCTTTTACTTTTCCAGATCCTTGATTGTTATTATTATTATTATTTCCATTCCCTTCTGTGCATCAGTTCTCGAGCAAAAGGAAATGGGTTTTATTCATTTTCTGCCCCTCGCATTGAACTGTAAACTTCAAAGATACCTCTTCACACACACACACACAAAAAAAAAAAGCTCCACTCCTGCTCCTGGAGGTTTAGTGGGACATCTCTGATCTCTTGGCTGGAGAGCTTACTGCTGAAGCTTTGAGAGCGGCTCTTTTCACTTAAAAGTTTGATAATATATTTACTACTGCAGTGCTATTTGTGGTTGTGTCCCCATGTGCTCTGAAGGGCCCTGAGTGTACTTTGAAAAAGGAACAAAAAACGCTATTAATGTTTAATTCCCTTCTCTGGGACTCTGCCCAGCTAGCCTTGATCTGTCGCGTCTTAGTGCCTTTGTTTCAGTGGCGCAGGCATCGCACAAATAGCCTACGTATTCGCTTAGAGGAAACTGCCCTGAACAGGTCCCCAAAATGTGTTTACACCAATATTAATATTTACCAACAAAAAGCTCTATACGTGCTCCCTCTTACCTTTGTGATTGTGTGACTGATGAGTTGTTGATGAGTAGGGGTTACTCTGTGTGTATTTGAAGCCTGCACTGTGAGCTGCAGATGCGAATGATGGTGATTTTACACTATGTCCATAGTGTTTTAAAGTGAGTTAAACAGTAGCTGTGCCTACATGGATTCTTGCCGTGTTTTACCCAGTTTTCAGGGTCGTATTACTCCCTTGGTTTTTACAAGGGGCCTTATGTTGAAAAGATATTTTTATGCCTTTTAGTATCTGTTTCTTCATGTTTATGTTTTATAATATTTTTCATGGCTTCCTCAGCTCCACTTGTAAACTGTAAATTATGCGTTCTATAGAGCACAGTTGAAAAGATGCCTCGGTACTTTAATTATTGTAATTATAAAGAGATGTAGCCTTTATTAAAATGTTCTATTTTTCAAATTAGCAAATATCCTCCTATGTTTTTTTTCCTCGTGTGTGTGTTTGTCTTTTTCAGCTCTAATTGGGATGGTAGTGTGAGTGTGTGTGTGTGTGTGTGTGTGTGAAAGCTGTGTACAACAGCCTCATCTTACACACGCACACACACATCCCCGCTGTGGCGAGTGCAACTCTTTGGTTCCAGAGAGAAATCTCCCCCAGATTTGCATCCATTATCAGCTCTTAATTTACTCCCTGCTGGAAATTAAAACATGCAGCTTTAATTTGGCCACCAGAGCCTCTGTGGTTCAGAGTTAGATGTAAGTGTGTCTTAATGAGACGTTTGGCAAATTGTGCCATGAGTACATTTCACACAGCTATTTGTACGGTTAACTGTTTGGCTTCCTGTGGCACCTCCTGCTCTGATGTGGTCCGACACTGAGATCCTGCTAATACAATACAACCAGGACCCTAAGGACCTCTGAAACTGAGACTGGAGGAGGGCTGGGGTCTACTGTCATTAAGCCAACCTGGACAGGCCACAAACCTATCACAGACCTCTTAACCGAGATTAACCCCTAACCTGCTTTTGAGGTGCTTTTTGACCATAAGTACCTAATGGTGTCTTAAATGTAAATTAAACTATTAGACCCCGCCTCCTAAAGTCCCTTAGTTTGGAAAGTACTTACCCCTGAGCAGAGGCTTTTCCAGTCTCCCTGTAACTAAAGTTAGAGTAACGAAGTTCCTGCTGCTTAAAAGCACTATTACCTGTCTTTTAGGCACCGTCAACAAAGAAACAAATTCAGGAGTGAATGCAAAAGTTTTTGGCGTTTCATCCACACGGAAATTGCGTTTCTGGTGACTGTAAAAGATACTTTTTGAAAACGTGTCTCAGAGTGCATAAATCTGCACGACTACCATAGGGTGACCATATTCTGAATCCCCATAAAGAGGACACTACAATGCGTATGCAAAAATTTTGAGGGTTTTTTACACGTTTCTAACTCGGTTAGTCCACGCTACCCAAACTCAAAACTTCCCTGACATTATAAACTCCCCCTGGACATGCTGGACAGCCTCCATAAAGGGGACATGTCCGGGTAAAAGTGGACTTATGGTCACCCTAGACTGCCATTCTGTTTCCGTGTGAATTCCTATCCCTATCTTTCCTGAAACGATAACGTCACACACGGCGTAACTCTCCTGAGGCGCCTACATGAATCCGTCCAAAACATCTTTATAACCCCAGGATAAATCCCATAGTTAGAGTCTAAACTTATAAGACTCAAACTAAAAACATAAGATTTAACCTTTAAGTTAGAAACCTGTTTAAAGTCCAAGTTAACTCTCATAGTTAGGTTTGATGTATTAAAAAGTGTTTCAAAGGTATAACTTAAGTTACTAAAAGAGTACACTGTCACTTTAAGCCTAAAAATCTTTGTATGTTTGTTTGAACTGTACATCCCTGACATGAAGTGTGACAAACTAACTTGATGTGATTTTAGTTTCCTGCTTCTCATTTGTCAATGTAAAGAGACATTAAGTTTCTTTTATTGTAATTGGCTGGGAGGCGGGACGAACATGAGAGACGAGAAAATCAGTTAGACTCACCGAGCTAGCTTGCTGCTCGTCGCGCTAGCTGCTATTCGCGCTAGCTTCGCGCCCCGCCAGCTCCGGAACAAGATGTGGATGTAATGCTACAGCTCGGTGGCTGAGTCCTCTGGATGTTACTGAGCTGGAGGTGAGGACGCCGCAGGCTGTGTTTCCCCTGATGCCGCGGACGTTAGGGTGCTGGTTTTCTTCCTGCTGCTGAGACGGGAGGGTGACGCGAATCTAACCGGACGAGGCGAGGGCCGATCCTGGTTGGACGGCGGAGACGAGGGGTTGGTTCGTCTTCATAATAAAGTCAGTAAGGAGCTCTAACAGGCCTGCAACGGGGGTGTTTTTTATATTAGTTTATCTGCCGGCTTTTTGTGGGCCCACATTTAAGAGTAAGAAATACCCGGTGTATGAGTTAACCTGAAGTTAAAGTTTATAAGTTGTCAAAAAGGGACAGATTCTAACCTGCAGTGTGTATATGGAGGCTTAAAGTTGCCAAGTAGACAAAAAGTAGTCAATTTCTATTTTGTTTTTGTTATTAAATACTCAAAATGCAGATTTTCTCTGTTTGACTTTAATATTTAAGGGAAGTTAAACTGGGGCGGCACAGTGGTGTAGTGGTTAGCACTGTGGCCTCACAGCAGGAAGGTCCTGAGTTCGAATCCGGGTCAGGGCGTTTCTGCCTGGAGTTTACATGTTCTCCCTGTGTCTGTGTGGGTTTACTCCGGGTACTCCGGTTTCCTTCCACATCCCAAAAACATGCCTAAGTGGGATTAGGTCAATTGGTCACTTTCAAATTGCCTGTAGGAGTGAATGTGAGCATGGATGGTTGTTTGTCTCTATATGTTAGCCCTGCAATGAACTGGCGACTTATCCAGGGTGTCCTGTCCGGTCTTGGCCCTAAGTAGCTGGGATAGGCTGCAGCCCCCCCCGCAACCCGGGGAATGGGTAATCGATTGATGGATGGATGGAAAGTTTAACTAGTGATTAATAGGTTTATTGAGGTAAAATCATAGCTAAGCACTTATCTATTATGCACATGGTCATGTGTGTTAGAGATGATGATTAAGTAGGTGTGTGACACTAAACATTTAAAAAGCGCATTACATGCTATAACTGCCTAGAGAAGATTAATGTAACGAACCTGGGGCGCTGTATCTAAGGGTAGTTGATACAAAGAAAGGGCTATACATTTTCAGTCGTTTTTAGTTTTTACCATCTTCTCGGGAACCTTTTTCAAAACAAAACAGCAATATATGGTTTTAATTTCCCAGTGGACAAGGCCTCAGATCTTAAACCAGGGGGAACCAGCTCATGCACGAGTCAAACGAAACTCCACACCAGGACTGACCTGGGAACATTAAGCTGTGAGTAGCTTCTGCACCCCAGTGAATGAAGCCCACAGTCAGAGTGAAGACAGGGGATCATTCCAATAAAAGAAAAGAAAAAAAAATCTCAAAAAAATCACAAAAATCTTTATCCTGTGGTTTCAGTGTAATAAAATCATCTTTGCCACTTCTGCAGGATGTGAGGAGTCCGACTTGAAGCTTCAAACAATTGCAGAGAAAGTAGCTGATTGCTTGGACCAAACCGGCTCCTGCCTCCCTCCTGGTCTTTATTAGAAGTTGAGACACAGGTGAGTCCAGTTACCTGCTGCACTGAGGGAAGCAGCACCAAGAGCTGCAAAAACAACAGAGACGAGCTGCAGGTGGTTTAAGCAGTTTTCTCGGATACCATTGTGGGATTACTCCTACACGGAGAACACATGCTAAAGGCTCTTTTCATTGGGATACAAGATTACCGGCATTCATTGTGATTTCAGATGCAGAATCAGCCGAGACGCACATGTAAGACGGTAAGAAAGGCGTGATTATAATCTTTCCTGAGCCACCTTACATGGTACCGTATTTAAATGAAATGTGTAATAGCTCAGACCTTCACACACATGCTCCCTGATATCTTCACACACACTTTGACACACTGCGCTCCTCTGCAACCCTCCCTCCTTTCAAGTTTCTTCGGCTAAGAGTGTTGCTTATGCTGCCTTTCATATTGAAAGGGCATCATGATATTGTTAAAATACCATTTTCAGCCCTTTCATCAGCAAAGGTCAGTGCATACACTTGAAGGCCATCCTTTGGACTCTTTAGAAGTAAGAGGCTCTCACTCAGCGCCGCTCCACTGTCAGAAGGCCTTGTGAACTGGGCTTTGTATGGAGGGCTATTTTAGATGGGGTCATCTTTTTGAAGGGAGGACTGGGGATAGGTAGACTGTAGACTGCTATTCAGAAACACGGAGCCATGTCTTCACGAGTTTGGATTCAGATTTTGGTCGTTTAAAGGTTGCTGTTTGTTTCTGTGTTTGTGTTTTCACCTCTTTGGTTTTAGCATGAAAGTGAATCAGCTGATCATTTGCAAAATCTGCACTTATGGACTTCAATCTGCTTCCTGAATCAGTGTTTGAGCACTTAGGGCTGCAGCAAGGCCTTGTTTGTGTGTGAGGAAGCTTAGCATCAGTGCAAGCACAGTTTTGCAGACCCTGTGCACTTTAACAATCTTCACAAAGCCGACAAACGTGCAATTTAGAGTGACAATTTAGCCTGATGAGTGTGTTTTTGGACTTTGGGAGGAAGTCTGAGTAATCAGAGGAAACCCACGCCTTCAAAGGGAGAATATGTAAACCCCACACATAATGTTAGAGGCCAGGGATTCCAACCAGGAACCTTCTTGCTGCGAAGTAACTTAAGGTGACCAGACTTCCCCGATTCCTGAGGACAGTCCCCATATTGGATGACCTGTCCCCGGCTAAAGCTGTCCTCGTTCATGTCCCGATTTAAGAGTTTCATGAATGAGAACAAAAATGTTGCGTGTAGACTAGAACAACGAATATTACGGTAGCCAAGTAGGTAGGAAGTACGAGTAAGCATGTTGCATGCAGTCCTGGACAACAGTTTTTACAGGGAATTATTATGGGAGGCGTGCGCTGCTACCATAGACTGTATATACTATGGACAACTTGTTTCCGCCTTCCGCCAGTATACAGATTTGAAGCCGAAAAGCTCTTGGTAATTCCACGGTTTTTCTCCATTTCCTGAAACCAACATTGCGCAGTAGCGTTGTATGCATTTGGCGGGAGAGTTGCCGAGAGTCGCTGTGATGATGCGGCTCTCCAGAAATGGAGGGCCTGAAATTACATTTACCCCCAACCTCCAGATGTTCCCAAATGTCCCCCGGATTTTATTACAGAAATCTGGTCACCTTAAAGTAACAGCGTTAGGAATGGCGTGATATCATTAAAGCACGACTCTGTTTCAGACAGGTTTGCTCAGGTAGTCTAACCGGAGGGTACCCTAAAAACAAGGATGGTACTTTATGATTGTTTTGCCCAACTTTGTAATCTGAGCCCGACCACTTGGAGGTCCTACTTCCCAAACAAAAACAAGGCAAGGGGCTGACAGTCACTCAGAAAATCCAAGGCTTTAGAGGCCCCAGTAGGTCTGGGAACCTCTCACAAAAACCACCGAGCAATCTCCATCCACAGGGTAAATCTACATGCTGCTGCTAAAAGTTGAACTTCATCAGAGATTTTCCAGTGACTAAATTATTCAATCTGAGCAGTTTTCCACTTTTTGTCTCATCCATCAATTGTTCCCTCAGGAGGAACTCGTCCCACAGAATGATTTCTGGCAGCTATCTGCTCTGCTGACCACTTCGAGAAATCAGCTTCAGTCTGTAATGAATTGGCACGACTTTGAGCCAACCTGCCCCCTCCCTCTCTTTACCCTTCGCCCACATCCCTGCCTCCTATTGTTTCCCCCCCGATGATATCCAACGTCTGCTACCTGTCCCGCCCACATGAGGCCAGATCAAAGACTCTGGCTGTGAACAACGGCACACAGGAACCTAACCAGGAAGTGGAACCAGGATCACACAGATGCGCTTTGAATAGTGGAGGCAAGGCTTTGACGTCCATACGCAGTCATTGCTGTGCTGGAAAAATGGATTGTTATTGTACAAAAGACTTGACTTGACAGTGACAATCATTCCCAAAGCAGCTGAAATTCAGATTTAAATACAATGCAAGTTGATCTAGTGTCGAAAACATGCAACCGAAGCACGGCTAAGCATAGAGGTCATGGGAAAAAACCTACTGTCTGTCTCTGCGAACCTCAATCTCATTTAAATACACTCCAATCACTCCACCATGGACGGATATGAGGGAATGAGACCCCCAATTTTGGGTCCTGAACCCCTTCATTTAGAACCTGGATCAGCCATACAAGCTGTTCCACACAGGCATCGACCCAGACAGCCGTGGGACTGTGGTCAACCAGGGGGCCTCACATGGAACCTGGCCAGGCGCCACTGTGGTAGCCGATCCCCCCGTCATGTGACCAATCAGCTGGCTTTTTACTGCCTGAAACTCGGTCCTAACCAATCGCAGACTCACAAGCCTTCAGTATCAACTAACGTCAGATATGCTGAGCTGTTTGGATGATGGCTGCTGGGCAAGAAAGAGCCAGGACTTCCTCCTTACGTCTAAATTGGATTAAGCGAGTTGTTATTGCAGCTTTTTGACTGTTCGGAGTATAAATAAGAGAAGAGGATTACGTGGTGAAAGTCCTGACAATTACGGGACATTTTCTCGGGGTTAGGCGAGGAAGAGTGTTGAGCTTACAGGAGGAGGAGCTTTATCACTTGCAAAATAAAAGTATAGTTGCACAAGACCTAAACACAAGACAGAAATATTATCACAGTCAAAGCAAGACAAGTGAGGCAATGTCCTCCAAAGAAGTTTAGCCTTTCCTCAGTATGACTAATCTACTAAAAGAAAAACTGGAGTCATGTTTCTCTCTCTTGTTGAGATTATGTATCTCAAAAATGCTTTGGGAAATTAAGAAGACCAGAAACTCAATCTGCTGGTCGTGAAGCACGGCAGTATGGGATGCTTTGCCGCAGAAAGGTTGCAGAGGACGTGAGGTCGGATAGCCGGCTGGGTCGTGTCGGGGGATTCTGTGTGTCCTCCCTGCAGCTGAAGGAAAAGCATCTTTTGTAAAGGAGAGCGATCACCATTGTCCCCTTCTGATGTTTACGTTTGTCTTGAATTTCACCCAGTGCTCAGCGCCGCCCCGCCGAGCCACAGGATGGGCATTGTTCTGGGCCCGTGCAGGAATGGTAGCCTGCAGTCACCTTCTCTCTGACTGTCGCCATTGTCCCCCCCCTCCACCAACGCTCTTTTGTTTTTGCTCCCCACCACAGACAGCTCAGATTGTTGCCTGATGTTGTTTCCTCTCATCCCATTGTTTCCACGTCTCCTCTTTGTATGACTTTCCTCCTCTGTGTAGGCCGGTGTTGGCTGAGCGGTTAGAGGGGATGGGGAGTGAGGGGCTGGAGGAGCAGAGGGGGGTTAGGGTACACAGAGTGCATGTGAAGTTTTATGGCTAACCACATGTGTTTTTGAATCTTTGAGCCTCCTCGTTTTTTCCCAGGGTGAGGGGTTGTAGTCTGTAGCAGGAGGATGGGGCGGAGAGAGGGAAGTTGGGGTATGAGAGAGAGAGAGAATTAAGGAGCCAGGACCGGGACATGTGGTTCTTGTTTGGGGCGCTACATGCCGAGATGGAGGGTCTGGCCTCTCTTCTCTCCTAACCTGCATCAACAATCTAAACACCATGCTGATTATTAAACAGTATGGATGCTCTCAAGGCCAGTGATAAATGCAGCGAGAGCACAACTCACACTCCTCTTCATTTGCAAATCAGCCGGTCAGAAAGCGACTGAAGTACAGAGAGGATTCAAGGACGCTCTCATATTACGAATCTATCACATTTCCTTTGTGATATTCTACATCTCCGATGTCCTAGATGAGGCTTTTTGTTAGTTGTAACTGTGTGGGAGTGCATTAGCATGATGCCTCCAGGCTGAATTCACAACAGTATGCGGTAAAGTTCTACTGAGAACCACGTGAACACAAACCACAGCCCTCCTTCAGTCTGTTAGAGACAAGAAACACCCACATAACTGCAAAGTCTTCAGAGGAACGAGCTGTTTTATATGCAAACAGCCCCAAAACACCAAAAGGCCACTCTGGGAGGCCAATGATTTAATGTAATACAATCTGTGCTACAATTACCCTTAATAGAAATCCATTTAAAAATGTTTTTATTAGGATGGATCAGCACAGTGATCTTGTATTTGATGTGTTTGAATCACGATGAAATATAGTTTAGAAAGTTGCAACTTTAAAGTCTCACTTTGATTTTTTTTTCTACTAAAAGTGTTATAAGTGGTCTTTGAATCGCGATTATGAAGTTTTTAGCCAAAACCACGTGACCTGTGTCATTTTCAAGGGATTTTCTTCTGCAGAGCTCCAATAGCTCATTAGCAACTCGCTTCTGTGTCGTGGGCGGAGACAACGCTGCTCTGCACATTCCTCTTTACGCTAACTTGCAGCCTAACATTGCCGGTGTTGTACATCATGGTCTCAACTTTCTCTGTAAGTGCATAGAAACTCTACAGTATGCTTGCAAAAGGTAGACAAAACCTTTATTAACTTTCTGCATGAAAAAAGCAGACCCTTTGTAGATTTTCTGTCCCATCCCACACGTTTGATTACATGTTTTATCACCTTCACTCTGCTTAGACAGGGAATTCAGAGGAGGGGGGTATGGAGGACTAAAAGTGACAGAATGAAATAGATAAATACATCTTTAAATAGATACTTAAATATGTCATAAATTAAATAAAATGGGAATTTAATACATAAATGTGTCAATAATTTATTCAAATGCCATTTAATTTAATTTAAAAACGTATAATTATTTCACTATTTAATCAATTATTTCAAGGACCTGTGTTGCGGTGCTTCATGAATTTATCACATTTATTGATTGAATTGCAATTTTAATTTATTAATGAAACATTTAAGTATTTATTTAAAGATGTATTTATATATTTCAATCTCTCTGTTAGTCCTCCATAGATGAGGGATATGAAAATGCCCTGGAGGGTTTATCACAGAAAAGCTGTTGGCCTCATGAAGTGAGTGGATTTTACAGCAAGTTGGCACATTCAGACTCTAGAGCTGATACTGTTTACACAACAATATTATGTTGTATGTTTGGATGATTTTGGTGCATGCTTTACAGACTTTTCCTTTTACACTGACTTTGGCATTTGTGTATTTGATCAGAAAGAAACAAAACTCAAGCTCCTTTTTACTCTCTTCATCTGATGGGTCTGACTCGGCTGATGGAGTGTAGTGTGCTTTATTGTCAAACAGCCAAAATACTGAGCTAGCAGCGTGAGAATCAGTAGTCCCCACACGAAATAAAGGGGCAGAGGAAGGTGAACTGAGTTTCAGATCTCCAAATTTCCCAAAGAAAAGCCTCTCTGCCTCTTCATAAGAACAAACCCGAGTTAATCCTGCTTCCATGAATGAGGCTACAGTTAAAAAGATCAGTGCCGGTGAGCTTTAAAGATGGAGGGGGGCCGTGGTCAAACTCATTTCTTGATTACCTCATGGCCTTACACAATCAGCGCTGCTGCTCATTTGGCTCCCCTTTTTCATGACATCCTCTTGAACCCCCCCTGAGTGATGTCATCCCTCCGTCCTCGGCCTTCACCTTGCTGGAAAGAGTAGAAGAAGAAAAAAGGGGAGGAAGGGGAAAGAAAGAAGCCATGGAAGGAGGTGAGCTTGGAGCCGGGGGTCCTCACTCCTGCTGGTCTGCCTGGGAAAGGAGCAGGCCTGGCTTCACATCACACACACAGCCTGAACCAGCATATGTGTGAGCGCGCATGAGAGTGCATTGACTTGCAAGAGAGTGAGCGTAGCTGTGCGTGACTGGGAGAAGAGAGGAGTTTCAAAGAGGAGAATTAGAAAGGATAACAGGGAACGTGTGAGAGGGCAGGGAAAATCAGGGAGAGGATAAAAACACTTCATAGATGTGATGAAAGAAGTCATGAGGAGGGTGAATATGGATGATGGCTCAACTACGGTGGCCGGCAAGGTCAAAACAGGATTTTCAAAGAGAGCTGGGCTGCGAATTCGTTATGAAATAAAAACACCTGCAACAATCCAAAGCAGATAATATGCAGCAGGACCTGGCTGGTAAAAGAAGTTTGGTGTTCGATTGTGACCAGTGTTTAACAGAAGTTTGAGGATATGTAGGGACTAGGGTGACCATATTCTGAATTCTCAAAAAGAGGACACGACTACACAGGGGTGGAGTCACGGAGCCGCGCGTAGTTAATTTTGAGATTTTTTCTGGGTCGAGTGTTTTTTATGTGCTTCTAACTCAGTAAGTCCATGCGACACAAACTCAAAACTTCCATGCAAAACCCTGGACATTTGAAGGAATTTATAAACTTCTCTGGACAAGGCCAGACATCCCCCAAAAGAGGACATGTCCGGGTAAAAGAGGATGTATGGTCACCCTAGCAGGAACAAGATTAGAGGATCATCCTGATATCGTCTGCTTGTTCCTGACTCTTAGCCTACACTTCATGTCTCTTTCTTAAGCTGTCCGATCAAATAAAGACTAAAAAAATAACCCTTAAGAGTATTTGAGGTTTAGATCTGTGCAGTTAAAGTTAGAAATACAGAAACCATTGGTGTCAGCTGAACAAAACTTCGGAGGGGGCAAAGAGGGCAGGGGGGAGGCATCAGAGGCAGGAATTAGGGAGGGGAGGGAGGAGAGGGCTGTGATCCAGATGAAAAGCTAAAAAAATGCCAAATGTGGAAAAAGAAGCTGCAGCGCTTGCTCGCTCGCTCGCTCGTCCCTGGCTGGGCGTGGGTCAGAGCCGGAGTAAACAAACCCACAGCTAAGCTGCCTGTTTGATCTGTTCAGCTGCGAAACACTGAGTGGAGTAAACAGAAAAATTAGACTGGGTCAGCTTCAGAGGGGGGCCGTGCATAGACCGGGGTGTGAGTGAGTGAGTGAGTGTGTGTGTGTGTGTGTGTGTGTGTGTGTGTGTGTGTGTATGTTGTTTCATCCGGATACACACACACCAAAAAAAGTTAGCTGTTCCAACCCAAAAGCAAACTGACAGGGGGATCTGCTCAGTCTGAGATGACCACTTTTCAGCACCTTAAACTCAGCCTGTCAGCACTTATTTTGGGTTTTAATGTCACACGGCGCCTCAGGACCAAACGGGGTCTGACTTGGACGAGGATTTTCTCTCTGCCAGGAACAGAAGTCGACCACTTGAAGACATTAGTCCTGTTTCTTCAAATGCCAAAGCATGAAAACCAGAAAATCAGCAGCGTTGAGTTTAAGAGTTCCTACAAGGAGCTTTAAAGAAGGGGAGTCGTATTTTTATATCAAAGTTTAAAGTTGGATGCTTCTCATTCAGAAACAGCAGCGGTGTGCTTTACCCTGAAGTGCCTGTCAGATAACAAAAGAGTGAAGTTTTATTCCCTCTCTCTCTTTTCTAACGTCAGAATCTGTGCTCCTTTTGCAGATGAACTCCTGACTCTTTCCAGATCATTTCAGGACCTGATATATTTTTGGAAACGTCCTTTAACAGTCAGTCCATTTTTGTTGCATCACGGCTGAAATGAATGCCTCTATTTGTCCTATAAATGGTGACACCTCATCTTCTCCAGCTTTTAATCAGTCTTTTAAAAGGAACTCAAGGTTTTAATGATTGTTGAATGATACCACATTACAATAATGAAGCCAAAGAAGGATCACTCAGTCGCTTCATTAATTTGACGGAGGATCTTGTCATGACGCTTCATCTTCGCACGTCTTAAAGCGTGATTTAATGCAGATATGTGCAAAACCTGTCAAAGGCACAATGGCCTGAAGATCAGAGGCTCGGCGTCACTTTGTTGGCGGCTACCTTTGAAAACTTGTTACTCGGCTGAAAAAGAAACACGTCAGGCGGAAGAATCTTCACGACACGCCTTTGCCTGTTTTTCCAGCCTTGAAGAAGTTAAAATTAGTCTTTTAAAAGGCAGAATTCAAAGCTGGGAGCATGAAAAGGGGGGCAGAATGAAATGTCGGCACTGCAGTGTTAAAAGGGAGATGGGAGATGAGAGATCCTAGTGTCTGACTTTGGTGTGACTTCAAAAGGCTGTGTTTAAAGCGGCAGGCCTTAATGCTGGCCTGATAGCACAACTGTCATGTCTGTGTGACCTCCCACAGCTGGCCAGCCAGGAACACAGGACCCATGCGGCGTGCGTCTGTGTGTGTGTGTGTTTGTGTGTGTTACAGATTTCTTGATGTGAGCTTCTGAACTTGTTTGCTTTTTGTATATTTGTGTGTCAGCACTCTTGTGGCTCTTGCTGTGTGTCTTGATGTGATTGTCTGTGTGCCCTTTAATGTTCCTGTTTTGAAGTCGGTGTGTGTGTGTTTGCCTGAGCCATGACTTTGTGCGTGTGTGTGTGTGTGTGTGTGTGTGCACAGAGGTTGAAGATCTAAGCCAGGCTCTGCCCTCTCTCCCTATGCACAGGGCCCTTTTTTCCTCCTTGTTAAGATTCAAAAGCTGATAGGCTTTGAACTGCAGCTGTAGACTCTGCAGTCATTTCAGCACTTTAGCTCAACTAGCTAAAGTTGCCCTTGCGCTGCCTGTCACCCCAACGCCGCTGCCATTACGAACCATCACACCAGCCACATTAACGGCGGAGCAGCGGGCGAAGGCGTACAGCAGCATTTATTAAAGCGGGGATTTTCCTTTGATGTGGCAAAACAGACAACTGGTCTGAACACGATGTCCCTCAGTTCAACTTTTTCCCTTTGAGAGAGAAGCTGATCTAATGTTTGGCATGTCATAAACAACTGGCGAAATGGGCTGAAGACTTTTATCCATTCAGAACTTGTTAACTTTGTTGGTCGCTCTGTCAGTCTGTGCATCACTTTGGTCTGGACTGAAAGAACGTCTCGGATTACCCTCAGCCTCCACATCTGCTGAAGAACTTTTTAGATAAGCCACAGACGCAATAGTTCAATCAGTGAGTCTAAAACAAATAGTTTGAAACCATAAAGTGCTTTCCAGAAGAGCAGATCCCAGGTAGTATGATGCTGTCTCTAACCTGTGATATCAAAACAATCAACAAAGAAGTTCGCGCAAGGCTATCTAGCTAAATGTCAACTTTCCCGCTTACCTTTTATGTCGACGATACAACAATTTCTGCATTTTCACCCCCCTCTGTAGAGGTTTTACTCACTACCCTGCTGGATTTATGGATTCATGCTATTCAACTCCAGGTTAAAGCTAAACTTACATGCAGAAACTCCATCTGCATAGTCTGTTGTGTTATGCTGCGTCCCTGTTACTTCGGAAGTCGGATGTCAGAGCTTGGAATGATGTTACACCCCAGTTGACGGTGTTCAGGTAAAACCAACATGAATGCCTACTGTTACCCGTTGTTAGCTGTTGTTGACAATTGTCAGCTGTCGTTATCTGTTGTCAGCTGTTGTTAGTTGTTGTTAGCGATACCAGTTGTAAACAACGCATAACACAGTATTTTACTCTTACAAACACCACAGCACCGTGTTCACAGTTAGACGTCTGGCAGTCCAACATGTACCACTTATTTAATTTCACAAAAACAAAACAGAAATACTTATAGATAATACATTACGAGAGCTTTCACTGTCACTCTTTACTGTTGATGCGCTGCGCTGCCATCTTGAATTATGACACTGTTGTCAAGTCAGGGTTGGTGAGGATTGTCTGATTTTTCCGAGGCAGAAATCCGACTTCAGGGGCTCGGAGCTCGGAGCTCGGGAATCCCGACTTCCAAGTACAACTGTAACACAGCATGAGTCCACATATGTGTGCACAACTGGTTGCTTCACAGTTGCAGTTGAGCACATACTTGACGTTTCATTAGTAGACTCTCTCCAGAAGAGCTCAGGCTGAATGCAGCTATCGGATTTGAGGGATGCAAATAAGAGAACAGGCATTTATGTTAGTGATGCACGATATGAAAAATTTCAACCGATACCGATAACCGATAATTTTCTTCTTCTCATGGCCGATACCGATACCGATAACCGATAAATTCATATTTTTACATTTATTATAATCTTCATATAATCTGCAGTTTGTGCAGGATGCAGCGATTGAAAACTGATATTTTTGTTGCTCTGGCCTATCTAGAACAACAAACAAAAGTTTTTGGCTCTTCAAATGTGGTCATTTGCTATAAATAACAATAACAGAGCAAAAAGCAGAACTTCATTTGATCCCCTGAACTGTTCAACAGAACTGTAAACTGTAAAGGAGCTATTATGAGACGTTAGGCTTAGCATGCTGACCGGACTAACATCTGACGTCCATATGTCTGTGGTAAAACTCACGTGTAGTCCGTTCTTGTCGATCAGGTTGTGAATGTTTGTGGCGACAATATCATAGAGTGCAGGAAGAGACACATCCGAGAAGAAGCGGCAGCTTGGGAGAGTGTAACGTGGCTCCAAGTGTGCTAATAACTTACGAAAACCCGGGTTCTCAACGACGGAAAAAGGCTGGTCGTCGACCGCTATGAACTCCATCACTTTGTCGTTAATGGCTTTAGCCTTTTCGCTGTCTCTTGAGAAGCTTTTGCAGTTTTTAAACGCCTGCTGAATGGGGACATCGATCCTCCGTAGTGTTGTTGTCTTAGCTTTAGTACCGCTAGCGGCTTCGGCGGCTGTCTCATAGTCTTTTACTACCGCTCCGCCGCGATGGCGACTTTTCAGATGAGCTATCAGATTCGTTGTGTTAAAACTTGACGTCTTCTTTCCTCCTCTTGGAATCCTCACTGAACAGGTTTTGCATATAGCAGCTGTTGTCATCTTCTGCCACTGAGAGAAACGACCATGCTGGTGAAGACATTTTATTATCTGTCAGGCAGTGACGGGGTCAGGCTTGGGACCTGCGAGTAAGGCGCGATAGACGACGTGACCAGCGCGTCTCGGACGGGCGGCTACTCCGCCTGCAAACGTTACTCGTAATTTCATTAATATATCGGATCTTTCTATCGGAAAAATGCACCTATCGGACCGATAAAAAATGACGTAATTTTCCCCCAAATCGGCCGATATTTTATCGGTCCGATAAATATCGTGCATCCCTAATTTATGTTGATTCTGAGCCTCCAGCACCAGCTCAGGCGACCGGCGTTGGAAGGACAGAGCCTGCCGTTGATGCAGCTTTTTTGTTGCTCATTTAGCTCTGCGTGTTTGTTGGTGTGCAGTAGCAATGACATTGTACAAATGTGGTAAACTGCAGATTTGTCTTTTGAAGGACACGCACAGGCGGTATACCAAACCGCAATTGAGTATTCGCTCATACCCAGTTTACTGCAAGTGTACCTCTGGACTTACTGTCGGTTTGCATGTCTGTAAACCTCTTTGGGTTCTCACTCTGCTCGCTAAAGCCGTGATGGATTCTTAATATATTAATAGGTCTGTTTTTTTTTATAATTCTTATCATCTTGCACAGACTTCTCACTTCATTTCTCTCTCCTTCCATCGCTCGTGCTCCTCTTGGTTTGTCTCTCCTTATCTGCAGGAGCTTTGCAGGTGAGAGAAGGCTGAGCAATCTCTTTTTTTTTGCTCTTTAAAGTCCAACAGGCGGGATACTGCTGAGAGCTGCCTCTCTTCTCCTGCACTTGTTTGTTCTCATTTCATCTCCCCCTATCTTCTCTCCGGAGAGGGTGCAGACCAGCGCAGATGTTATGAAAAGACCACTACATACACACAGCTCTGACACACCTTCATGTCCTTTGCACCTCCGTGCTCGGCGTACAGAGAGGAGCCCATCAGGGAGCCTTTCTCTGCATATGCATCCTGCCACGATCACATCCTTTCTGTTTTGAACTGAGCTGAAGAGAGGCCCCGTATGAGGCCATCAGTTGATCAAATAAAAAGTTTCCAGTGGTCACCTCCCGGCTCCTGACTGTGTGTCCGCTCAGCTGTCAGCGGGAGAGCCGGGGAAATATCGGGAGACGCTGCTGTCACACCCAGATCTCTGCTTTGATGAGTCACATCAAACGATGTCCATATCTAAACGCCACCCTCAAAGGGAAAAACTGGGGGAGGTGTGTGTATGTGTGTGGAAGATATACCAAAATAAGAGAAGAAAGGATGCGAAAAACAGCACATAAAAACATAATAAACAGCCGTCTTTGTTTCACTCCGCCGGACTCCTGATAACTTATTTAAAAGTGCCAGATGCAAGAATTTCAGGCTGCTTTAAAGCTTTGTGCGTTCAGGATTGTGTGTTTTGTCAAGATAAAAGTAGCCAAGCAGAGATAATGGACTTCTAAAGAGACTTGGAAGTTGTTCGTCAGGATATCTACATGCAAAGATTTAACTGCTAACCTCGCTGCTGTGGTGGATTTAAACACAAATAGTAAAGAGTTTATTCTGAGCTGATGTGAAATTATCTCACAGAGTGGGCAAAACGGAGATCGTGCCACCCTCTGAATTCTATTTGAATGTACCGCTAATGAGGGTGAATGCGGTGCCTCTGAGTGAGGCGGTGAGTCGTACTGTCTCCAAGGGCGAGGAAAATTATTTGCCCGAATTAATTACACGTTAAGTCAATGCAAAGATGCGATTAGACGCTCCTACAACTCTAGTGGCGCAAATGATGCGAATTGGGCGAATCTCAACTTGAGTGGATATTTTTGTTATGATAACTACTCAGCACAAAGGTTGCCGGGTGACGTATGAAAATGGACGGTTGTTTACTGGTATCTAAAATAAAGGACAAACTGATCGTGTCGGTGTGGGTGCTCACAATTGTATGATACATTTTCTTTCACTTACCAAAACCGGAATAAAAAGGAGCTCGTCTGGAGGAAAGAGTGTGGAGGTCCGATTACCTGGTAAACTGTAAAAAACGTTTGTCTATCACTTGATCCTACCAGTTGAACTGGCAGGGATTACCATTAAAATTACAGTTGACGCACAAATGAAGCGATTAAGTATTATTCATTCACGCTTCTATATTTGCGCAAATTAAGCGAGAAGATTATTTTACTTGCGCTTGGTGTGAGTGCCCCTTTAGGGTGAAGTTGTTGGGAAAATTTCAAGAGTGTGTAAACAAAAAGACTATGTTGAATTTGAACCTCGATTCCTTCAACTTTAACACCATTTTGCACCTATTTCGCACAAATCCTGTGCATTCGCCAGTTTCAGTGGTCAATCTTTATCTTTTCTTGGCGACTTCACACGTACAGACAAAAATTCAGTTTGAACCAGAGGTGTTTCTGATTATTTGACCTCACAGAAAAGCATGCAAGTATCTTTATTCCAGTCAACAACAATGGTGGAGTTAAACAGAGCTGTCAGGAAAGACTTACCCGTCACCTCTAAGGTAAGCGTGAGCAGTAAGACGACTTCTGTAACCTAGTAACTCTAGGCGCTCTGAGAAGTGCTCTGAAATCGAGGTCATGGCTGCTGCCAGTGCAAAAACTGGCATCAAAAGACTCAGGCCCTCATTTTCAGTCTTCTTGCCTCTGCAGATGATGTTGTACTTCCTTTTTTTTTACTTCCCCTCTTATTCCCCTCCTTTGTTCTGTCCGCTGGCTCCGCTTGGCATCATGTTCAAACTGGAGCTGCCAATGAAAAGGCTTTTTCCTGTGATGAAGATTTAATGTACTTGTCACATGGCTCAAGTGGCATATGTTTGCCCTCGTCGCTGCTTCCTCAAAATTCAGCCAGGGAGAAGGTAGGAGGCATGCATTTATTCATCGTTTCCTAGAGGTTCATGGCGGCGGCGTCTCGAGCAAATTGACAAATGTAGTTAGACACCAAGCTGGAACTGTTTCAGGGTTGTTTCCGAGTGTGCTGCTCAGTTTTTGAACATGTATCCTCCACTCAAGGCGATATGGCACTTCTTTCCTCCTCTGTTTTTCCTCTTCCCGCTGAGTTTCTTTTCTGTTTGGCTTTTCTTTAACTTCATGCTATTGTTTCCAAAGAACGCAGAGGTGTGTTTTTTCCTTCAGACGACACCACTTTAAAAAATCTGGGTTGAAAAGTTAAGATCCGGGGATCTTTCCCTCCCTCTGTCTCTTTTTATTAAAACTCTTCTTCAAGCCGTTGAGAGGTCTCACTTTAGGTGAACATGGAGCACCGTCTTACATAAATACCTCGATGACAGGAAGAGGACTGAAGACTAAAGACTGATTTATGCTCGCCATACGTATGAAAATGTATGCATCCATTTCAAACGATGGTCCTGTTACTGCCCACACACTTCCATGCGTCCTTTACGTTGGCATGGATGTCAACCATTACATCCACCAGGGGGCAGGCCGGGGTCAAACATTTCTGACAACAAACAAAAAGAAACATAACAACTGTGGAGGAGCTAGTGATAGAGTACAATTTTTGTCAGAGGAAGCGGTGGTCAGTCAAGCCACTAGATGCCTTCTGGTTGGAGGACCGAGAATTCTTTTCGCTGGTAGTACCGATGAGAGAAATTGACAATTATCTTCAAAAAAGCTCAGCCATTGTCGTCTTCATGCGTCCACGGTTTCCCGTGGTACTGCTCCATCTGGCCTGCATCCATAAGCCTCAAAGATACATGCAGAATTACAGATGAGAAGAACGCTCCGTCTGTATCTGCATGTAACGTTGAGCGTTAATAAACCTTTAGACCGCTTTCATACAGCAACCGCACATCTGAGAATTTCCCACATTGAGCAGGCAAACTGAAACTGAATCCATACGTGGCCTCGGTCTGTGCAATGTCCGATCTGGTTTTAGCAGTTTAAAAACCTTCACAGCCAGCATCAAGATCCTGTGCATGTAGCGCTTGATT